CATTCTTATAATCTGTAAAGAGACATTATATACATCTGTCTTCAATGATGAATACTGCTGCTAATCTTACAGTGAGAGTGATAGCTTCTTTATCTATTCTCAAGTCTTAATTATCTGCTACACAGTATATTGACTCAATCTTTTTCTCAAGATTCTTTCAATGAAACTCTTCAGATTTCTCTATCACTGTCTCTTCATTAGTGAGATGATATTATCATATCTGAGTGACTCAGTCAATGAGAGAATTGTTTTCTCTCAATCATAGAAGATCTAGAATAATGTTCTCATCTATGATGTTAACTGTATGAAGAAGCAGACTGCTTTTCTTGAAGATTTCTTCTGAGTCTGTGATCACACACTTTGCTTGAATTATATTAAAACAGTGATATTTCATTTCATCTGTAAATTTCATATGATCTGATAAATCTATCTTCTTTCAATTCTTTATTAAGAAAAAGAAATAGAATATGAAGTTGATATTTATTCTGAAGTTGAGTAGACATCTCACTGATATCTTCTTATTCAGAATATACATTGTGATTGTAATATGAACTCAGAGATATGAGAATTATTAATTTCTCATTTCTTTCTCTTCTTTATCTTCTATGAATACATTTGTCAGAAGAGAAGTTAACTTTGAGAAGATATCTTCTCAGTTTCTTCTCTTCTTCAGCTTCTTACAATTACTGATATAGTGATTATCAGCTTCACAGTTGAAATAGAGATCTTTATCAAATCTTTTTTAACATTTCTTCACAGTGAGTGAAGAATCAGAATACTTGAAATTCTTCTTTACTTTCTCTGCACTGAAGCTGTCATAGTGTCATTTAGATTCTGTTATTAATTACTTAGAAGGAATCTTATTAGTCTTTTTCTCAGAGAATTGATTATTCAAATAGATCTGAGAAGTCAGATTGACAAGCTCAGTGTGATTGATTAATGAACTCTGATATTATAATATTATTATCTGCACCTTGTGAGTCAGCTTTATGAGATAAAGCTATATTTTTAATTAATTCAAATCATCAGTTAATTTCTCTCAATATTCTTCAAATCTTGCATTGAAATTGAAAGAATTCTTATTATCTTGTTAATATAATGAGTTGAACTGCTGTGCTGCTATGAAGCTGTGATTAGACTGGCCGGCGGGACTATGAATTTCACATTTGGTCTCATTTGATCTGGTCTCATACATTTCTTGACGTGAGTCCCACCAGAATCAAGCCTCAAAAAAATCTGAAAATGGACCATTTCTGAGAGAAATGGTGTGAAAAATGACCAGATTTAATTCAAGAACAGTGAAATGAGAGTAATTTCTCAGAATAAACTGTGAAAGATGATCATTCTTCTAAAATCAGAATGAAACTGAGACTGAAGATCAAAATCAGTCTCATTTGATTCATTCAGTGATTACTTATATAATCAGAATTTGATAACAATTATTAATAACACTCATGAAACAACTAAATATATTCTTGTATAAGTTTATTCTTCACTTTCTCATGAAAACTACACTTCTCTGATATACTGTGATCAGAGGTATTAAGCTGTCTGATAATTTCATATTTTATAATCATGAGTTTCTTGATTGTTTCTTCTTATAATTGTTCTCAGTGATAGTGATAAATATCTCAACTTGAGTTGAACTTTCACTTCATTCTCACTTCTGTCAATGAAATTATCAGAATATCACACATCATCAGTGCAACAGTTGAATATATACTCTCAACAATTTTTCATAACTCTAGAATTGATTTAGCATGTAAATTTGTCAGATCATCTTGAAGATAGCAGTTAAATTCAGTTTTATAAGCATGTAGTTTTGCCTGATTTTCAGTTGTAATCAATGTATGCAAGTTCTGTTTCAAAGTTAGTATTATAGTTCTATGAAATATGAAGTGTTATCAAAGATCATTACTTATCAGAGAATTGTATTTCACTGTCTTCATATCTCAAACATCTGCTTATTCAAATCTCTGATAGTTGGCATTGTAGTAGTCTCAGATTAATTTGATATATAAGTCTTATTCCTCCTCTGTTCAATCTTGAGAAGTGTAGATATTAACTTGATAAAAGAGATCTAGTAGAGCTGCTATAGCATAGTACTCTGCAAAAGATTGTTCAGTTTTGCTATAGTAATATGCTAGTTTATCTCTTACAGCAATAATAGCCTGTGCTATAGCATTATCTCAGACTGAATTTCTTTTTGAGTGATTCAACTGCTTCTTAAGATGAGTAAATAAACTGTTATACACTCATCAGGCTGACTGCAGCATTGATGTACAAGTGATTGAGACTGTCTTTATTATCTTATAAAACTGAAACAGTAAATCAATCACATATTTCAACTGAGTTCACTTCATATCAGAAAGTTTCAATATCTGAATCTTTTCTCAATCAGAGTGTTGCATTCAATGATCAATCATCTGATACAATTGAAGAGTCTGAACAGTTATCTCATATATTAAACTTCACTGTGTTCTAATATTCTGTATCATATTCAGTGATGTGACTGATTTGTTTATTTATTAAATATTATGAAATCATTGTTGTTGTTTAGAGAAGGTATAAATTACATTATCAATGTTTTGAATCTGTGATATTTAAATTATTAGTCAATCTATTCAAAATTAACAGTAGTATTATCAAAAAGTGTTATTAAAAAGCAATATCAAAAAGTGTTATCAAAAAACATTATCTTTTGCAAAGTAGATGCAAAAGTTACTTGAGTAATCACTTTTATCTCATTCTCATTTCAAGAACCAGTCATCTCATTATTCTTCATCTCAATGTTAAGATTCTTTATCAGTGTTTGCATCACAAGTTGAATCACATGAGTAATACAGAGAATATGACCTTGTTTATCATTTCAGAAATACAAAGCTAATTTTTGCTTCAAGCTCTTCATCATAGTGTAGTTATTTGCAGCATTATCAGTTGTAATTGTAAGAAGACAGAGACTAATATCTCAATAGTCATTTTTAATCACAGTCATTAATATCTCTGCTATATAATCCTCAGTATGACTACTGATCAATGATTCAAATTCAATTAATATCTCTTAATAAGTTCAGTTCTCATCAATGTAATAACATGTAACTCTTATAAATGCAAGATTATTTGTACTAGTTCATGTATTCACTGTGAGAGACACTCTTTGATGATTCTTCAACTCTGATTCTAGATGTTATATATTGACTTTGTAGTGTGTCTCAAGGTTGAACTGAAGACAGAATTGATGTGAAATATGAAGATTTGAATTAAGCATTTGAAGAAGTGTTTAAAATTCGGGGTTTTCAATTGATCAAAGAGAAAGATTCAGAAATATACACATGTGAAGTAATTGTTCATGAAAGTTATCAGATGAGAGTTGTGAAATCAGAGTACTGATATATGATCATTTTCACATAATTTTCTTCAAATTAGAAAGTTAGTGTTATCAAAAATCATTATCTGGTAGAGTAACTTACCAGCTCAGTAGTAATTTTCTGATTATTTTCCTTTTATTGTCTGCATTCTGATGACTTCAGATGTTAAGAAATTTCTTCAGAGTTATAATCAGTTCATGATGAATGTTTCTGAATGAAGTTGTAGTGATTACAGCAGAGAGATGACTCTTCAGTAATCTGCAATGCAATCTATTGATAATTATTTCATAGATTATCTCAGTGTTTATGTTGAGTTTTTCATAAATTTCATGACCTGGAATCAGATGTGAAGAATGAAGTGATTATTTATTATGATTGAAAGAGAGCATTCTGTGTTGAATTGTAAACAATGTAGACTTTGTGATTCACAGTGATTTCTTGAAGAGTTTGTGAATCTTCAATAGAAGTAAAAGAAGTGAAAGAAGTGAATTCAGAAGATATAATAATAATTTAAGAAAGATAATAATTTATTTTCAATAACTGATCACTGATATGTGTAAGAAGAATTAATATAAGAGAAAATAATCTTGTTTCTTAGCTTAGTTATAATTTTAGTACTAACTCAGATTGAATATCATTGATGTATAAAAGTAAATAAACAATCTTGATTAATCTCTGTTATATTTCTTGAAATATATTAATATTGTGAAAGAGAGTGTTATCAAATTGTGTTATCAGATGATATCATTAAAAATATATTAATATTGTGAATATCAATGTTGAAAAAATGTTGATACTTATACATTATAGTGATTTGTGAATCATGATAGTTAAATATATATATATATATATATCATTTCTGACTTGATTACAACTTGTACAATAATTTTTGAAAACTTAAAATCAATTTTAATTATTAATAATTAAAAACTTAAACTTACAACTAGACTGGCCGCTGAAATCATGAATTTCATGTTTGATCTCATTTGATCTGATCTCATACATTTCTTGGCGTGAATCCTGCTGGGACTGACTATCAAAAAAACAGGTAAAGTGACTATATATCAGATCTTAAAATGAAATCATGACTTGAAAAAAATGAGAAAGTGATCTCATTTGATCTCATTTAGTCTCATTCTTAGCATAAAGTTACTATTTTTAGACATTTTAAGGTTTTTTTTAGACTATTTTTAATTTTTTAAAAAGTAACACTTTTTGGCAACACTCAAATGAGATTTAAAGTCATTTAAAGCAATAAAAATAATTTAAATTGAGAAGTGAAAATCATGGTCTTATTTGAAAAATGTGACAAGAGTAGACAGTAAGTCTCACTGAGACAGTATGAGACTACTATCTAATGTTAAAACTGTGTAATGAGAGCAGTTGAATTGATAATAAGACTATCAAAAAATCTGGTCCTGGTCTCAGACACAGTCACACGGTCAGTCTACTTACAACTAACTAATATGAAAAGAAAAAAATCTACTTCTTCTCTTTCTCATTCTTCTTATTATTCTTCATAATTCACTTCTCATTCTTCTTCTTCTTCTTCTTCTCCTTCTTCTTCTTCTTCTTATCTGAGATGATAACTATCTCAAAATCTCCCTTCACTGCCTTCTCAGAAGAGGGTTTTCACTGCTCTTTCTCAGTCAGGTCAACCTGCACTCTAAAATCTCGCATTTCCTGATCTACTGTCTCAGGTTCCACCTCAGCAGCAAGCAGATTGGCATACTCAGAGAGCAGGGCTGTCTTCTCAATGTTCTGAATTATGAAGTGCATTTGAGACCTGAACAAGGCCTCAATTCTCTTCTTCTCTGCCAGCTTCTGCTAATTAATTAGAGAACAGAAGTGTTATCAAAAATCATTATCTCTTAATAAATAAAAAACTTATCAGTTTTGACTTCTTTATCTCTCACTTTAACATTCTTTCAATCTTCTTCTGTTACTGCTTATTTATAGTAACACTCTTCTTCTCTCTCTCTCTTTTCATCTTGAACTCAAATCATTCTTGAGACTTCTTCTGATCTTACTACTGCTGCATGAGACTCTTCACTGTCTTCTTCTTCAATCTCTCACAGGTGGTGTCATCTGCATTATTTCTATACTTAGTTCAGTCTAAATCTATCAGAAGTGTTACTTAAAATCATTATTATTCTACTCTCTTACAGAGCCTCTTCAAGGCATTATAATGTATCTTATAATTGATCTTCTCTTACTTGAATACCTTCTTCTCCTCTCTCTTCAATCTATGACAGCGCTCACGCGTCTTAATGATCCGCAGGACCGCAGAATATTTAAAGAGAAATGACATGATTAGTTTCAGTAAGTATTGAAGAGAGATAAAAGCAGAAGAGGCGGCTAGAAATGATATGATAATAATAATAATGATGATAATAATAGTAATGATAATGATAATGATGATGATAATGATGATAATAATGATGATGATGATAGTGATAATAATAATAATGAAAGAGAGAGTGCATTGAAATATATTACTGACTTATTAAATATAAAGAGACAAAGAAAATATTAACAGCTTTCAGAGATATATGAAAACAGCTACAGTGTTATATAGCAACATCATCTTCATTCAATACATGCAGTGTTGATATTCTTTGTATACAGTTATCATATAATCTATATCAGAGATATATGCAGAAAACAGATCTTTGTTGCTAGAAAGAATGATTGCAGTGATTCTCTGTTTTCATATTATAAAGATAAGTTATTCTTATTTCTTTCTTCTCTCTTTTCTCTTCTTCTTCAACTCATCACTAAATTCAAGCTGATATGAAAACTATTAAAACACTTCTAAAAACCCTTAAATTGAAGAGTATAGACTAATCAAATTTTAAATGCAGAAGAATTAAATTATATTCAATATTACTAATTATTCATTCTCTCTCAATAAAATCACAGTTGCATCTTTCCTCTTCTCTTTCAAATGAAACATGGCCTGTGAAAAGTGAGTACCATGCCAGGCTATAATGATCAACACAGTCTCAGCATGCAGGGCTGTATACACACAGTGTGTGCTGAACTGAGAGACTGTGTGAGTTGTAAACTAGTATCAGCATCTCAGAAAGAGCTGTGTAATGTGAGAAAGCTGTAACTCTCAGTTATATATACAGAGAGTGAATTGTTGCAGTAAGTGTATATGCATTGCATGAAAGTAATGCTTTTTGATAATACTCAGTCTCTGATATTATGAAAATAGAGTCTCTCTGTAAGATCTGTTTTTATCAGAAGTCAGAGAATTTTATATTTCTCAAGATTATCTTCATCTGTCTTATCTGTGAAATCAATAAGAGAAATCATTGATTTCAGTGTTCTACTCTTGATACTATTCAAGTGACAGCAGAGTTCACTCTGACCACACTTTTTAAGTGTATATTTTCTAAATATTCACATTTATACTGATATATACTGATTATTTATTAGATGATGTTAAGATAATGACTCATTGTAACTATGTTATTCTCACTGTGAGAAATACACAGTTGATGATGAATATTATAAAGACTCTGAGAAGTGAGTATTTTAAGAGTACTGCAGCTCTGTAATCTTGATTTTTTTTATTTTTATTTTTTATTTTTTTCTTTTTCTTTTCTTTTTTTTTTTTTTTGTTCATTCTGATTTTTTCTTGTTTTTATTTTATTTTTTGTTTTTTGTTTTTTTTTTATATTTTATATTTTTTTCATAATTAAAATTATATAAATTATAATCTGTGTTTAGAAAAGTAATGATATTTAATAACACTCTCTATTGAATTTTCAACAAATGAGCACTATGTTATGATATTATGTAAGTGAGAAGTGATTTTATAGTCTCATTTAATATCATTCTCAATAATAAGATCAGAATGAAAATGTGACTAAGAATTCAAACATATTCTTTATCTGAAACTAGATTTTTATTTGAAAAGTGAATCTGAGACCTTTAATATTTGAAATAATGTGATTTGAAATCAATGTGATGAATACAAATTATGATCAGAAGTAATACTTGTAGGCAACATGACAACTGTAAAGTTTAGTCCTGATCTCAGACACGGTCACACGGTCAGTCTAGCTATGATTACAGTGATCTTTGATTTAATTCAGTAGAAAGTTCTTGAATTCTTTCTAAGTTATGACAGTATTAATACACTCAAGCTCTCTCTTCTTAATAACTCAAGTAGTCACAGAGATGCCTTCAAGAAGGTTAGCAGTGTATATTACTTATATCTCATGAGTATTATACTGACTTAGATTAAGATGAAATTTCTGTTCAAGAATACAGATAAAGCTGTGAAATTCAGACAAGATATTTCTCTTATATCTTAATGAATCTCTGATCTTAATCTCTCTATCTTTATAATAGATGTAGATGTATAGAGGCTGCAGTGATAATAGAGCAGTTGAAGAGCTTATATCAAGATATACAGTGATATCAGAAATCTCAGATTTCTGTCAGAGTAGAGATGTACATACTTTAGAAAATAATATAGTGTTTCTCTCAGAGAGTGAGATCAGATCAGTCTCAGTGTGAGTGTATAAAACTATATCAGTCTGTTAGAGCTCAACTGATTCAAACATGTAATCAGATTGAGTGATTCAAATTGTAATATAACAGAACTGAAGCAGTGACTAGTCAGTGATATTATATAAAAGTAGTTGTTTTGAGAAGTTGTATAAGTGAGCTTGACTATCTTACTTAAATAGCAAGCTTGTAGACTACAGAGTTATTGCAAGAATATCACAGATATAATACTTAGTATACTAAGAAAATTGTATAAGATACACAGTAACTCTTATATATATTTCAGTAGAAGAAAAAGATGAATCACTGACTTCTTTAATAAGAAGTCAGCATCTAGCTATTCTATATAGACAATAAGTGAATACTCTTCTCTCATTTCATAAGTGAGAATAGCTGAAGTGATATCTCAGCAGTGTCTTATTATCAAGAAAGAGTAATCTGCTGATCTTGTATAGAAGTGAGATTCTTATATTTATCAATCAGATCTTTCTATAATATATCTGAATGATGTTATAGAGCAGTTGAAAACCAGTTCAGTCAGAATGAAATCATCCGCATGAAAGTGATGGGCCGTGTGAAACCGCAACAGAGCCTTGGCGCGGCTGGGAGCGTGACACAACTGTCAATGTGAAAAATGAAAACACATGTCAATGTGCTTGCTTCAGACTGTAATGACTGTCATCTTTGTAAGATCTATAACATTCTTATTATCAGTGAGAATCTGTATCAGAGATGTAGTGATGAAGTCAAGCTCAATCATGAGATTCTGAATTCATATTGTCTCACAAATCATCTTACTAAGAGTCATATATTCAGTCTCATTGAAACTCAGAGATATACAAGATTGCTTCACTGAATATCATGAAATCAGACTGTCTGTGAGCTTAAAAATGTAGCTGAATGTTAATTTTCTATCACTATTCAAGAGGCCGGCCCAATCGGAATCCGAGTAGCCGAAGAGTAGGTAGAAATCATCAGGGAAATCAGAGATAACAGAGGGATCAGTAGAAACAGTAGAAATGATAGAAATGATAGAAATGAAAGAAATGAACTCCTCATACAGACCACATCCGTAGAAAATGCTCAGATTCATGATCTCTTTCAAATAATATATAATGTGTAATAGAGTCTTTCAACATTGAGATGTTAAATCAACATTCTATTGAGTGAGTAGTGAGACAGTGTGAGTGATATCAGAACATGTTTTAACTGCAAGATATTGCAAGTAACTCATACCATGTTAATATCACTGAATTGTGAAACCAGTCTCTTTCTCAGATATAGAGAAATTATCAATACAGAATTCATTCTTCATTGATGTTCTGATAACAGCTGCATTATCAAGGTAGAAATCTTCAACAAGATATTTGATATATTGACAATGTGTTAAATCAATTCCCTTGTCTGAACAATTGACCTTCATACTTAAATACTTGATTGACTGGTGTAGATTCTAGTCAATCAGCATTCTCAGAAACTTCGAATATGATGTTAAGATTATCAATGTAAATTATTATATAGAGATGACATCTGAATGTATAATATCAGAGCACTGAATTGTAGATGCTGACTATAAATTCAAGATCACTTAACAGAGCTGTTAAGAAATCATATCAGATCTTCACTGCAGAGTTCAGACTGTATAGACTATTCTCAATCACACAGACAAGTGTTTTCAGTGAACCTGTCTCAAATCTGATGAATTGTCTTATATAGACCTTCTTAGTGAGGCACTCATGCAGATATACTATCACTATATTCACTTGACAGAGTGTTCAATCATGTAGTACTGCTATTGCAAAAAGAATACAGTTGATAGTATCAGTGATGACAGAAGCATAGATCTCTTCTCTAGAATTCTTCTTAAGTCAGTTATCACAAATCACTTAACATGATTTTCTAAGAGTATCATCAGAATCAGTATTCAGGTTCACAGATCTATCTTTCTCAAGAAACACTTAACAGTTTGAAGCAATTAGTTTATCTCTCAAGATATCAGATCTAGAGATTAAACTTCATGTATTATATCTCTTCAGATCAGTAATCTTGTGTTATATAAACTTCTTTCAATAATCTTCTATTCTCTCTAGTCATGATGTAATGTTCTTATAGAACTTTGAAAGGTTACTTATAATAGAGCTTGAAGTATATGTAGTCAGCAATTTCACAGATCATAATTATATGAAATTGAAATCATCAATATCAGAAGTATCTTCATTATTAATCAGATAAATATCAGGTTTCAGTTTACTGATATTATTAATAAGTGTCACAGATGTGATAACTGATTTTAATTTTTCAGTGATCAGAAATCTCACATCACTACTGATAATAATCTTATTAGATTCAGAATGCTATAGATGATATATTAATGTATCACTGAATTCAATGATGTGATAGAAATTAGTATGTAAAGAGAGCTTATCTACAGATCTCTGAGATTCATATAAGTGAATAAAAACCTCTGTACTTAATCAGTGAAAATGTCTCACATTCAGCAGAGTATTCATAAGTGCATATTAAGAAATCTTATATAAACTTGAAATCACAGAAGTCTCTGCAGTAGAAAGTTAAAATTTCAAGTTATAAAGAACTGTAGATGTGAGAGTATTATTAATTATTATAATTACTATCTCTAGAACATCTGCTGAGAACTTCTTAGAGAGATTATCTTTCAAAAGAGCAGCTCTAACTCATCTTATAATAGTACAGATCTTATATTCAGAAACATCATTTTAATGTGATAAATATAGTATTATTAATTCTCATTTAATATTATATAAATTCACAACTATATATATACATGTGAATTAGAAAACATTATTAATATCAGTCTGTAGAAAAGCAGAAACTGTATATCTAAGATTACTTATGAATCTGAGTCATAACTCAAAGTATTGAACAGTCTCATTCTTGAACTTTAAAAAATATACTCAGCAGTAATGAGTCATATCACAGATAATAAGTATTCAGCATTTAATCTTCTAATAAGACTCTAAGAGATAATTAGAGAGATCTTTCAATATATATCTGCTATCTGTAAAATTAATATGAATCTTCTCAATAAGTTAAATAGATCTAGATATCAGTGTTTTTAAATAATCTCATATTATATCTGTCTTAACATATTTCTTGTAAAAGAACTTAGTCTTAGAATCTTTAATTATGACTTCAGTATAAGAATTCTTAATCATAGTAATTATAGTATCAGTGTGAATATGACTGAGATTATAGTATCAGTTCAAAAGAGTCTTTGATATTCTTATATTCTTAAGATCTGTATTCAGAACTGTAGAATTAATATTATTAATAGTAGTAGCAGTGATTACAGAAAGATCAACTTTTCAGTCAAAATCATACTTGTATAACATCATAATATACTTAACTGTCTTATTCAGATAATTAAGATTCTTATTAAACTTCTATTTATCAATCTTATATATATTATTCTGAGTAGTCTGAACTGTATGAAAAATAACACTGTTCAGAGCTCTGCAAATGAAAAATAAGAAAATAGTAAAAGATAATATAAATCAGAATCTCTGATTTTCAAGCTTTGTAAATAAGAGTAGATTAACTGTAATATTAGAAATATAGTGAACATTCTATAAGTTAATATTATTATTCTTAATCTTCAAGATAACAGTTTTAATTTTCTTAATAAACTCAGTTTTCTCAGTTATAGAATTGATAGAGATATTATTATTAAAAGATTTAATATTTAAAAAAGAATAAAGCTTATCTGTTATATTCAGACTTACATATGTATTCAAATATTAAGATCTAGAGAATGATTTTTCAGTGACTGTGAAAGAGAAATAGAACTTAATCTTTATAATTACTGTATTTACTGCTGATTAAGAACTTATTAAGTCATTCTTCTTCTCTTTCTTCTTATCATTTTTCTTATCATTCTTCTTTTTCTTTTTATCAGAGTATAAGATAAAATATCTATTAACAGTATATTCATATCTTCTGCAGTGAGTGTACTTTTATACAGATATGCTTTTATTCTTATCTTTATTCTTATTCTTTTTCACAGTTATAGAATTGATCTGAGACTACTTTTTCTACTCAGTGATAATCTTCTTAAATGTATAATTAATTAGTTACTTTATTAAATCATTGATATTAATATTAATAATGAGTTTCTAATCAGTGAAGAAAAACTCATTTAAATATATTTTAATAAACAGTCTTTAATAATCTTATAGATTATTGAGAAAAAGATTATAATATATATTCTTAGTACTCTGACAGAGCTTCTTATAACAGATAATAAAATAGTAGAAATATCTTTAAAAAGTAAGATAATAATTCTTCTTGACTTATAATTTTATCAATTTCTTAAAGATATTAACTCATTCTTCTATCAGTAATATTATATATTTAATATTAATCTTATCTTACAGAGCTGTAGTATTATCAGCTTTTAAGATTTTAATAGTGATTCAAATATTTTTAATAAAACTCAATAGTATATATTTATATAGAGACTTAAAACAGATTCTTCACTTCTCAGAGTTAATATAATATATAAAAAAGAATTCTTATTAAGTTCTTAATAGAATATCAGTTTCACTAATAACTTTTATATTAGTTAATATATTAATATATCAGACTTTATAATTAGAGTTATTAAATATAATTACTGATTTAATATCTAGTATATATTTAACTTTCTTCTGATATTTTCATAACTTATCTCTTATAGTGTCTCTTTATACAGAGATAGATATAGTAAAATATTAAGTAATTTCAGCTGCAGTTATTTAATTCTATAGTATTATTTATATAAAATTTATAAGATTATCTATAGTATAATAGATAGATTAATTCAGATTATTATTAAAAGTCAGTATTTCAGAGATAAGAAATAGTAAAGAATTTATAGAATTGAAATGAATAGATTCTGTAGATAAATATTAACTCTGCTTTTCTTTATTCTGAAGTTTCTCTATTATCTTATTATCAAATTTCATACTCTGATAAAAACTAATCTCAGTCTTATCTTATAAGTCAGAAGTCTTCTTATAATAAGTAATTATTCTATTAATAAGTTATTTAGTAAAGTATGTGATTCTAAATCTTAAATTAAACTCTGAAGTAATAGATATATTACTTATATCAAGATAACTCTACTTCTTCTAAATATATAAAAAAAAAAAAAAAAAAATAATATTCTTTATAATAAAGAATATACTTTCTTAAAAATATAATGTATATAAATCTATTAATTAACAGATTCAGAGAAAATGAAATATCTCTAATAAAGAGTAAAAGTCTTTTTAAAAAAGATAAACTATTCATATTAAAAATGTTGATATAATATTCTAAAAAGAAAAATGTACTATTCAGACTATAATCTGTAGAATAGTTGAAGATTGTATTGATAGATCTATCTACAAGAACATAATATAGTGGTGAGTCACATGATCTAGTGGGATCGCTAACCGCAACGGCCGTAAGGGCCAACAATTAACCCTACGTTCTTCCCATATGGTAGTAATCACCAACGGATTAAATACTATTGCCGAGGTATCTTTTTGTATTTTTCTGCCAGAGATGGGCCAGATTGGGCAGGGCGGTACGTGGATGGGACTTGGCGTTGATGTCTTGGAACATCAAACACAGACAGGGTTTTCGCGGAGGTTGCTCTCCAGATATCTCCACAATCACAGGTCGGGGATCTTCCAAAATCAAAAAGATTGGCGCATAGGGCTAGGTCTCTTCACCTTACAATTTGTATGGCAATTTGACCCGGGGTTGTGGTGTGGTAGGGGTGGACGCGGGAATATCCCACGCGGGGGCTTCAAACCACGTTTGGTTGAATAACTCCACCACCAGACGGGGTATGCGGCGGTCGGCGTTGGGGTCAAAATGCTTGTATGATCGAGTGCTCTTCGATAGATCTATCGGCGGGTTCTTATTCGAAAAATTGAGCGAGTTCGTGGTGGGGCGGTTTTTGCTCGATCTGGACAGCAGCAGATCTGCTGAGCTCAGAAACTGAGTGAGTTCTAGTTCAAGATAGAGTATTTATAACAATTATGTTAGCACCTTGGGTGGGAAACCAAGGTGTGCAGGTTTGAAACCCGCAGGGAATACATTAAATTCAGAACTCAAGCACCTCAGGTTCCTAATAAATAAAGAGGTGTACAAATCACTACAATTAATCACTCTATGTTCCTGGGCTGGGAAGTTATTATTGCATGTATCTAGTTGCCACTCATTCGTATTTTCTATTGTTCTTGTTATCTTGGTGTGGTCTCAACACCTGTATTTCCTCCTGTATAGCCAACTCTTGGCCTGTATTTAACATCACACAAGAACTCATAATAAGCTCTGCTTGCATATGAGTATAATGGAATAATAATAATAATAATAATAAATCTGTCAAGATTTGTGACAACTGTCTAGCTGTTTATTTGAGCGCAATCTTTTTCCCGAAAATAAAGCTGCTTACATAATCGTATTCTAGGGCACACCAAAATAGGCGAGGCTCAAATTTTGGTATTTTCGGCAATTCCAACACCAAGAGATCACCAACTTTCAACCTCACACCGAAGAACCTCCTGTTTTCTACACCCACCTCTTTGAGGATAATCCGACATTGGAAACGATCCCCATCGATATTCCTATAATTGAAAATGGTACGTGCAACTACCTTCCACTCTGATCTACAATTGACGACATCCCATTCCTCACTTTGGCTCCATGCACAAAATCGCGCCCGGAGCGCAAGCAAACCATAAAGTGCATATCAATTGAGCCCTACACCTCCCACACTTGAGCCCAACAACAGAGCCAAAGGAAAATATAACTCATTGACATATTACAAAAAAAAAACAGTCGGACGGAGAAGAGACCGCTTCCAACCCGCCCGTCGGCGCTGCCGATGAGGTCGAGGTTTCCGCCGATGCTACCGCTGGCAGCCCCATGTCCGTCCTGGACGCTCTCAAGGGTGTTCTCAAGATCGCTCTGATCCACGACGGTCTTGCCCGTGGCTTGCGCGAAGCCTCCAAGGCGCTCGACCGCCGCCAGGCGCACATGTGCGTGCTCAACGAGGGCTGCGAGGAAGACGCTTACAAGAAGCTCGTCATTGCACTCTGCCAGGAGCATAAGATTCCGCTCATCAAGGTTCCTGATGGAAAGATGTTGGGCGAGTGGGTTGGACTTTGTATGTTTTTTTTTTTTTCTTCCCCCTTGTTCCTGATTGTTGGTTTTGGGAGAATTCTGTTTGGTAAGCTTGGGGAGCGCTAATTTAAATGTTTTTCACTTTAAACAGGCGTTCTTGACCGCGAAGGCAATCCTCGCAAGGTCGTTAACTGTTCTTGCGTTGTCCTCCGCGACTGGGGTGAAGAGTCCCAGGAGCGCTCCGTCCTCCTCAACTACTTCCAGACCGAACAATAGACCACTCAACCACACACCCGAGGTAAATAACTGGGTGGATAGGAGGTTAATGGAATAGAAAAACAAATTTAAGAAGCCATGTATATGTGCGAGTTATGGACGTGCTTGGTGGTGGACAAATATCTATGATTAATGAAAGGACGAAACTTCTGGCTTGATTTAAGAGCTAGGACCATGCTCAACTTGTAATTGAGGCGAAATTAGACAGGACTTTTGGGGACATAGGTGCTCTCCATTTTAGAGTACCGATCAATATTAACTCGCATGACACATTACTTGGTCTATCTAAATATTCGCCCCTGGTTCATTCTAGTCCACTTGGATTAAGATGGTAACAACTTACTATCTTAGTATTGAGTAAGAAGATGGCACCATTTGAAAGAAATATTGGACCACTTTCATTCATGCGTTCAGTTATTTCAAAGGCAAAATTGGGCCAATGTGATCGATATCCTGGCTTAAAAGATATCGATCTCGCATACCAAATGCCATTTATGAACAGGTGCACGAATACACATAACATAATAGAGATAATGATGAATGCCGCTCTCAGCAAATGAAATGCAGTGGGGTGTAGCGGCGTCTATGGCGTCAATGGCTAGAAAAAGGAGGGAAATCTCCCTCTCCCCCAGTTCTTCACATTAGATAGAAACAAAGCGGAAAAGAACAAACAGGACATAACAGGAGACGTAGCTGTATAGTGACTGCATAAGTTTGAGTGGCGCTGGACGCATAATGGTATAAATTTCAAAAGATAGACACAGATGGGAAAAGAAACAGTCAAAATAAAGGAAGGGTATAAGTTGACTTTCCCCAATCCCCTGTGATATCCAGCATTCATCGACGCCAATGAGATAATGATGAGGGAATAAAAAAATAAAAATAAAAATAAGGGGACATGATATTGGTAGCGACATCCGTGCACGTACACTCCGCATGAGATTGGACGGGATACCGTGAAGCAGATAAAACCTAATGCAAACCCGAAACTAGGAGATATATATTACATTATATACCCAATCATCAAAGCGCAAGGCTAACGTTCACTGGAGGTCGGATTTGCGTAATGCTTGGTGCCAGAGGACAAAATTATAGAAGGAGACTGGTGTGTGTATTTATCCAACCGGTTAATCGAAGTACATTGATCAGTGGATGAATCAATTAAACAGTCAATCAATGACAGTAGCTCAGCGGAAATCATAGGCAGGAAAAACCATCTTCTCTCTCATTTGTGGAGTTAGAGAGAGGTGCTGATATGGTGAACTGCCAGGGTCATAGTACATGCCCTCGATATGACCGTCCTCGCGACGAATGGAGATATAATAGAAGCCGGATATTGTGAGTCCTTGACGGGAATGTGACGGGGTAATAAAGCATCGTTCTAGCGGTGTAGGTGGGCTAAGCATATCATTATAATACCAAGGATGACGTTGTCGGGAATAAGACCAACCTTTCCAGCGCATTAAGATCCACCCCTTCGCAAGCCGCTCTGTCACCCATTTCTTGCTCACAAGGTTTCTCGCAGTTTCGGTGTAAGACAGGGCTTTGAACGGCTCGAGCTCGCGCCAGTACAAACCATCAATCTCCGCGCTTGCTTTGAAATTCTTCGTCTCCAGCGAGTGCGTGTTGAAGTCGATGATTTCACCCTCGAGGAAAGTGGATATATGCGCCCCTTGGCTATTGGAGGTTTTATCAGGAATGTTATAGGCTTCCATCGTTCCAGAAAGAGTCATCGTGTTATAATCAACGCTATGTATCGTAACCTTGACAGGCCAGTGTTCATGCCTACTGCTGCTGTTCATTTCCATTGGGCCGCTGTTTCCAATCTCGTGCGGAGTATCCGCTCCATAGCTGCGGCGGCCAGCGCTTGTGTATACGCTGCGACCGAGTTCGGTTCCGTTGATAATGACGGGATCATCGATTTGGTGTGATCTCGGTCTCAGATTAAACATCGCCGAACTAGAATAATGATTCGTAGCATGTTGTGAACCCACAAATACTGTCCCTGGCTTTAACCACGAAGAATCTGCAGGGCTACCTATTGACGAGGTGTCAAGGATAAAGTCGTCCTCGTTGCGGCGCAAATATTCATATTGTACAAAATCTCTCGCAGTGGCGGCCTGTACGCTCTCATCGTACGATTCAGCGAATCGCACCCTATCTAGATACTTTATTGTTTCTTCAAGGCGATCGCCCGTCGACCGTTCTTCGCCGTACATATCTCGAAGTTCCGAGGCGCTAATAGTCCTAGCCATATCCCCACGGTTGGCGGCCGAAGAACGGGGTGCCGGGGAAGTAGTTGAGCTCGTAGTTATAGTGGAAGTCGCAGAGGAAGGTTGCCAGTCTCTTTCCTCCGATTCGCGCCCGTCTCGTTCCCTATCGAGGATGTAGGTCTGTAGGGTACGAGTTCGGGAGGAAAACCTCGGGTGGCGACGAACAGATTGGAGTAACGTAGCAGTAGCCAGATCACTCCGACCATACCGTGACGGCTGAATTGATTCTCCACTATGGTCTCCAGCCCATAGACGGGGTGATGTTGCTGATCCTTCCCGCCTGTCATCCCGAGATCCCAGCGCCGTATGTCTCGCTCTTAGCAACCTACCATCCCACAATTCCTGGATAAGATTCGGAGGATCCACGCTAGTATCTTCGTCCTCTACATAATCTGATCCTGGCGCCCATGTGTAAACAGAATTTGGTGGACGGGAGCGAGTTTCGTAGTTGGGGGCTCCATTTAGAGCTTCCCGACGACGGACGATAGGGATGCGACGGCTTACCCCGACAGCCACAGAGGGCCTTCTGTGATCGTTAGAATCCATACTACTATTCAACTCATCCTCCAAAGGCTGCAACTGTCTCCTTCGATGTCGCACACGACCAGGCGATGAATCTAGAGAGGGGCGTCTGCGCGAACGCAAAAAGCTTATGTTATCGGCATTCACTTCGTCTTCGGGTAGACTCATGGGGATGGCTGCGAGATCGGGGACAGTTCTAGAGATGGTCTGGAGCTGCTATTGGAGATAACGTAAGGAAGGAAATAAAGATAGAGAACTAAGAGAGTTCAAAGGTTACTGGTCCTTTGGTGATGGCCAGAGATGTCAGTTAGTTAACCTTTGCATGGATGGAAATGCGGATACGGCAGCAGACAAGGCGGGCTGTCAGGTAATGAACTGCGAACATGGGGCCTTTCGGCTATATTTTAGTCCTTGGCAGCCTTGTTTCGACATGCAAGGAAGTCAGATTATCGCATCACAACGAGTTGATAAGTCTAAAGCCAGGATGAAGATAGATGGATGTCGACGGAAAGGGGAGATGTCACTCGGCGGCGGATAAAAGACGAGGTGCTTATCGTTGGCGAGATTTCTCTAGTTCGTTCTTGCATCACTCAATCAAGACCGCGGCACGGGTTGACCAGCAACGACTAGACCTTATCACCCCCCATTTATTCTCCGCCACGAATACGAGTACAGGGTAGACTCATAGGAGCGATACGTCTAGCTAACTCCGACAGAAATCATAATGACTTACGGACGGATGTTGCCTGCCGCACTGGTCTCGGTGGAAGCCGTGGATGTGATCGCAGCGAGGAGGACGGTGACTTGTTCATCTCAGACCCATAGAAATCCGCTCAGATGAACTGACCAGGGTATACACAAAGAGCCGTTATATCGCCGCCGTCGTCGTCGTCGTTGTCATCTTCTGGCCTTTCTGTCTTTGACATTCTGACTGAAACGTCCAGTCAAATCCCTTGCAGCCTGCCCTCGTTTCACACTGTCATTCATGTTCAATCGATCCGACGAATAGCTCAAATTAGACAACGTTGGTGGTGGTGCTCCTTGTTCGAATATAGACAGGCCTTCAGAGCGCCATTCGAGTTGACTCGGCTTGGAAACGTGTTGGGGAGTCAACAACACCAACGTCCGCGTCACAGCGATATCCGTCTTTCTGATAGCTAGATCTTAAAAATTCCAACCTAAGGTATATAACTAACTAACCAGCTCGGTTACAGAACCTTGGGAGCAAGCTCCGTGGGGCATCTTTCGCACAGAACTGACTGTGGCGACTCCCACAGAAATTAACTCTCGCAGCAACGGAACAGTCCCAGAATTTCCACACGGGCCATCCGGCAGGCATTCTACAGCATCTTGCAGGAGGTTCAGAATTTAGCTTATGCTCCAAGGTTGCGTAGCTCCCGATGGTCAATACCTGCCATTCAGTATTGCACCTCTCTGAGGCTATATTCCGCTTGGAATTGTCCAAGTAGACCTCAGCGATGATGTGCCACGCTCATGTGGAATTGTCTCAGAAGCTGGGAGCTAGAGGTGTCTTTCGTTATCCCAAAACCACAGGTGCGCAATGAATTACAGTCCCAAGACGATAAGACTATGGCCATATCTTGAAGACAAAAACAAAGTGAAGCCGCGTTCACAGTTCTTGGTTGTATGAAGAACCATACTCCGTATGGATTATCATCTTAAATCAGCCATTATTCCAATTTTCGGGTTTATCCTTCCTTCACTATATGTAGGTACAGTTTAAGAGCATGGATTAAACTGTTTCTGAGCAAGCTGGCCAAGTTGAATAAGAAATCAGAAGGCGAGCGTAGAACGTGCACGGCACGGCACCGTTGAATATTCAAGATACCCGTTTCACGATCGCCGCTGTGTCCGTTTTAACGTGGCCGGCCTTATGGTCGCTCTCCACGATTCGGTGCGTAACTGATCATCTGGGGCCCATGGTCTATTATCGACCATGCTGAATCCGCCCATATCATGCGTCAAATCTCCCCCATTGACTTTTTCCGGGCATTCATTGATCATCCTTTTAAACAGATAAAAAGCACATATCGCGATCCACCTTCTCTGGCGCTGATGGGGGTAGGCTTTACCCTATGAATAACGAGAGTTGAATTTCGACCGGTTTTGCCTTCAGCAGTTTGGACTACCGCATTCTTCAAGCGGACTTTCCCGGGGGCATGCGCAGGTTGCCCATATTTTTCATTGCAGAACTCCTCGGCGGTCTGGATTATATTGGTTTTGGTTTTGTGCCGTCAAAGGACCACTCACCCTTGTTGCACCAGAGGGGACTTTCGTGATATTTGCGACTTTTTACGATCCAAAAGTTTAGTATATTGTGCTTATACATATATACGGGCCCGGAGGGGTGTTGGGTACTCACTTCCAGGCGGCCCGCCTAGCTGCTGCTACAGTTACATGTACATGTACATACAAGAAAGATAGCTGTTATCTGTCTGGAAAGACACCCGGCACTCAGAACTTGGCTGTACACTCAAAGGTGCTGGATACAAATAATTTGCCGCACATACCTTCATTTTCTTGCTTTTACCTGACAGTGCAAATTGTTGTTCCCTTTATTTAATTCCAAATGAATTGACAGGGTGCATAAATAGCACGAATTTCCCCAATGGAAACCGCGAAAGGTCAGGTTGAGGTAGACGACAAACATATATATATATATATATATATATATATATAAAGTCTTCATGGCGTTTGAATTTAACGCAGAATCTCCCCCTCTTTCTTTTTTTCTCGGAAGTAGGACGAGGAGGCGGGTACCCATTGTTTATATGTATGCAATCCCAATATAATAACTCCTGCATTCTATTATTTTCTTTGTAAGCTCTTCTCTCTCCACTGTCCTGCTCCTGTGAGGTGCCCTTTAATGTGCTGCATAGTAAGTCCATGCACAGTACGTAGGCATATCAAACGGACAAGGTGGCCATTCCTTGTCCTGTTGGCTTGTTTGGCTGGCTAATATTCAACTTGGGAGATCATGAAATCGGCTAGCTGTTGGTTGGGCTTCTGTTGGAAGTGGTAGGACTCTTCTGCGATGTTTCCTTTATTAGTTTCGTTGAGGGCTGACTGGTTACCGTACGCATCTAAAGTACTCAAAGGGCTGACGGAAATTGCTGAAGCTCCCTATTGCGCCTGAATCGAAATATCTACGAAAATAACGATGATATCAATTCAATTCGATCTAGTAGGATTACCCGGACACATCCAAGTCTGAAATTTGTTTTTTCCCAAACGAAACTCTTCGAATTGACATTAGTATTTTGTTTTGCTGTGCTACTTGCCGCAGACAGGCCTACTAGAACGGGACATACCCGTCCATGTATAAAACTGTTGTATGCTTCCAGCGTCTAACAAGCATCCAAGTGGTTTGATACATTGACGGTTTGCTCAGAATCCTGCATTTGAGGGGCTTTGGTGATGAAACAAGTTGTTTACCCCCGCCGACGATGACCAGTGAACTAGACAGCAATCGCTGCTTTCTCTAGAATTCTATGCCCAAGCCCGAAACAGAAACAAATTATTTACATCAGGATCTCCCTTCCCAGCTCTCGAAATGGAATGGGAAGAGTTGAAGGAGCTGCAAACGCCGAAGAAGGGCAAAGAATATTATATGTTGGGCATACAGACGGCATCAATTACCACTCCCTAATACCTCCATCAACTCCATAAAACCCCTTCGGAGGCCATGACTCCGCAGTCATCGCAACGCGCCGTACTTCCTCCTCATCAATATCGATTCCCAACCCGGGTTTTGTCAGTGCATCCACATATCCGTCCTTGACATCAAAAACTGAAGGATCCGTCACATAGTTGGTAATGTCGTACGAGCCCGCCTCCGTGTTATAGTGGATGCCCAGGCTCATCTCCTGGATGACAAAATTTGGAATCGTGAGGTCGACTTGCATGCTGGCGGCCAGCGAAATGGGGCCTAGCGGGCAGTGCGGGGCGATCGCCACATCGTACGTTTCTGCCATCGCGGCGATGCGCCGGATTTCGGAAATACCTCCGCAATGGCTGATATCTGGCTGCAAGACATCAACACTTGCATCTTCCAAGAACCGCTTGACGTCCCATCGGTTGTAGAGCCGTTCACCCAATGCAATCGGTGTCGAGACGTGGCCGGAGAATTGTTTTATGCCCTCCGGATGCTCCGAAAGTAGGGGTTCCTCGATGAATAAGGGGGTGGTAGGGCTCCGCTAGTTTAGCAAGTTGTTTGGCCATGGGTTTGTGGAGACGGCCGTGGAAGTCAAGAGCGGCGTCGAGCCCTAGAGCCTTCACGGCTTTGAGGCGTTCGACGCTGGACTCCAGAACTCGTGGGGAATCAAGCCAGTTCACATCTTCTGTTGCATTCATTTTTATGGCTCTGAACCCTTGAGCTAGCCGCGCTTTGCCAGCTGCTTCAACATCTGCTGGACGATCGCCTCCAATCCAAGCATAGACAGAGATCTTGTTACGGAGCTTGCCTCCCAAGAGCTGATAGATGGGTACACCTAGCTGGCGGCCCTTGAGATCCCAAAGAGCAATATCGATACCGGATATAGCTGACATGAAAACAGCACCACCCCTATAGAAGCCGAGGCGCCAGGCCGTTTGCCAGATTTGTTCGATATCACTATGCCGGTTGGGTCAGTCATTGGATGTTTATAAATTTTGGCATTTGGGTGGATGGTCTTTTGACATACTCCGCTTCATAGCCCTGAAAGCGTTTACACAGCGCATTCAATGCGCCTTCGACAGCTTCCGAATGTCCCTCCAGGGTGCTTTCACCCCATCCATGATTTCCATCTTCATCAGCTACTTTCACGAACAGCCAGCGAGGGAGTACGCGGAAATATTCAATGCTCTTAATTTTACCCATGTTTTCCTCCTTGTACTTCTTTCGCGAGGGACCTTGTGGAGGGGTATTGGAGATCAATGAGGGGAAGTTCTCGTAACGGAAACCACACCAACTTATCGTTCGGAGAGGAGTCTATGGAGGGGTAACCTGATAACCGATAAAAGGGGAGAAAGGTAGCAGCTTCTATTTATATTGTTGAGAGGCGGGAACAAGACGTGGAAACGAGATACATGGCCGCAAAGCTTCCCTCTGAGGATTGAGTGTCTCCGATTCAACTGACAGGGATTAGCAACTGGTAATGATGCCATTCGGTCTGCGGGTATCCAGCGATATAGAGCCACAGGCAAGAGTAGCGTTTGCCAGCGGAGCGGAGCCATTCTAGGATAATATGCAATGTGAGGTTTTGAGCTGCCTTTTCCACCATAAGAGCAAATGAATATTACGTTCGCGATAACCTCCCGGAGTCTATCAGGTATCTCAGATACCTTCGCCTACAACAAGACAAGTGTAGACCAGCTGGGTACTCAACCCATGCAATCCAATTGGAGTAATTTTAGAGCCAGGAGACGGACCAGACGAAAACTAACATCGCATTAACTCTTACCACGGCCACATGCAATTTGATACGATTCCACAGTGGAGCTTATGTGCCGAACCAACCCGGATAGGAGAGCTGCCAAAAAATAATATGATGTCCACTCTCCCGCTACACACTGGACACAGTGGTAGCAACATTTGGTGAATCATCAGTGTACGGATGTGTATCCGAACCACTTTAGTCTAAACTCTTTAAAACATTTAAATATCGGACAGAGGCGCTTATTGATGGCAAGTTACTAAAAAATTGTGTCTCCCCTTCCAGCAGAGAAGGGTTTTCTTCTTGACAGTTCATTCCGAGAAAGCAAAGCGAGGCAAATTATCACCCTTGGGACAATATTGCTAGAGAAGTAAACAATCTCTGGCTTTTTGCACCTGTTAAGGACACATAATGTTAAAGAGATTCTGTGCGGGGTGAGTTTGCTCTCTGCTTTTTGATCATGGAGGGGAATTACCGGACATCGAATATCTCAATCTGTTTAGACTGAAGAAATCAACACCAGTCTAGCGGGGAGTGGTGGAAGTGAGTAGTGCAGTGTGGGACAACCCTTGCTTATCAAAACCTATATTTTGAACAACATAGTGACTGTTGGAGCTGGAGTGTGGGAATTTCTTCGCTGTCGTACAAAAATGTAAACTTGACAGCAAGATCTCCATCTCCCTGGAGGCGCGACAAGCGAGTACAGCTGAATGGCCTTCGCGGACAGTCCATTCGCCATCAGGGTAATGAGCTACCCTCAGGATGAGATGCCAAAACCTCAACGGGAAAAGACACCAGCTTGAACGAATATGGAGGCAGTAAGGTGACATAACGGTTGCCCTGCGCGAGCTTTTAAAACGCTAACTGGATCATGCTAGTTCGCAGGGCTATACGCGCGTTGCATATTTACGCTCCGGGAATGCGAGATCCTGCAGTATGACATCTACTTATCAGCACGTTCCCTAGCGGTGGCATGAGATAGGATAGGCTATATTTTAAAACCGAGAAAGTCAAGCAGCTTACTAGGATTGAGCCGGAGCCGGGCAGCAATATCAGTTGAACTGGAATCCGTCTCCGTTGGCCGTTTAGAAGCGGGCCACTATTGTTTTGAATTCCAACTGAAGACCGTTAAGAATCCGTACATAGTAGACGAACATCCTAAAAAAAATGTTTCTCGGCCTTCATGCTTCTTCGTCTGCTTTTCTTTCTTTGTTCGGCTTCCAATGATTGTAGAGAATCTTTGGCTCCGCAATATTTAAGTGTGTATCACAATCAGCGGGTGTCGTTCCAAAATTGCACCTCGTCAGGACCTCTCTAGGCCCACCAATGCTCTGAAGGTACTCAGAGCATATAATAGCTGAGAAACGGGGCTTAATGAGTTCAAGGGTATGAGAGATGTTGTGTATTGGCCGCTTGATTCCACAAGGTGATCGGAATCGTAACAGTTAATCGTGTAACTCCAACCCCTTGTCTCGCTTCCAATCGCTCGTCCTGTCGGTTGCAAGAAGTCTGCCAGAACGTGGACGTAGAAGAAAGATTCTACCACAAAAATCAACTGTTTTTTTAACACCCTGCCTCTGGTCAAAAGGAACGTTCTATTGTCTATTTTTCATCTATCTATATGTCCTTTTTGTGAATATATAAATATATAAATAAGTTTATACATGGAAGATATAAATCAACGATCACCACAGAGATGCAGAAGATGTCCAACGCTACAAAACCCATTCCAAACCTACAAATATACCCAAAAGAATCGCACCAATTAGTCCGCTCTAGTTTTGATTGCTGACCCGCGAAGCGTTCCAATCATCTGCCCGTTTTAGACACTCGAGAACGATATTCCAAAATGCATCAACATCGACCCCACGGGGTATGGTCACGCCGCACTTGCCGCGTTCTAAGGGACTTGCATTTGTCCGTCCAACCTCACCAGTAATCTCTGGACCTGAACCATGTTGACCATCTGTTACAACATTAACGAGGAAGCGCTCGCCGTCCCTATCATCGAAATTGAGAATTCCCGGTTTGCTTCCATTGTCACTATGGTTTAGGTTGGACAATAACACAGCAACGGCAACGGGGTCATGCAAGGGGGGTCCAACGTCAAGGCCAAAAACGCTTTCGTAAGTGTTTGCAAAGTAGATGAGGAGGGCGTGGAGGATTCGGCGGAGGACTGAGGGAGTCGGGATCACGCCATTCCCGTTCGCTCCTGGTTGAGTTTCAGTCTGTAAAATCAGAGACTGCACATTTGGCGTGCCTAATACTTTGTGGGTAAGATCTAGGGGTATTAAAACTGTTTTCCGTGCGAGAACCGGGGAAGAGAAAATGGATTGTGCAGATTCGGGATCACACTGAATTTATTGATTAGCCATCAATAAAATAAATGAAATCTTAAACCAGGACGGATCCTAAGATTCATTTCAAGGAAGGATACCAACGTAGATATTGAACTCTGCGAAATGTGTCGTATTTCCAATCCGGGCCTCAGCTCCTGGCCGCTTGCAGATAGAAGCATCTGAGAACCCACCACCTATGGCGCCACCCATGATGCTGAGACCGCGAATGTGCTCCGCAACTTCAGGAAATGTTGCGAAAAGTAGTGCGACATTGGTGAGCGTTCCAGTCGCCACTAGCCAAGCAGTATTTCTAGGCTGTGCCAGCAGGGCCTCTCGCATGGCGACAGTCGCACTTGGATTCCTCACAGGTGGTCGCGTCGGAGTAGGAAGTAAATCGGTCCCATCAAGTCCAGACAAGCCTGATATCATATCCCGCGTGTCAATTATTGATCTGGACGATAGGCAGAGCTCAGCATATGTTTCACATACCATGAATATCCGGTGCATGTACAGCTGCTCTACAGAATGGCTTGTATGCCCCTGGATATACAGGAATATCTGACCTGCCAATGGCTTCCAGGATGCATCCAGCGTTCACTGTGGTATTTTCAAGCGAACCATTTCCATGCACAGTACTGATCCCCAGCAACTTCAGAGATGGGTGGTGGGCAGCTAAGAGGATGGCAAATGCATCCTTTCACGTCCATTAGATTCAACTCCATTCCCACACTTTGTCGAAAAAGGTATCTAATATGCTGGCAACTTGAGAACTTACATCATGGCCTGATATAGGGTCAGCGTCAAGTTATACATTTCTTTGACTGGTGGGCATTAAAAAGGGGTAAAACTCACCTGGATCACAATCTAGCCAAAGAGGAGTCACCTGTCTTTCATGTGACAGGAGCTCAGGCGTCTGATACGGCATGATGGTGAAGGCTTGTGCAACGCGCTGTCTGCTGATACCGGCCTGACACTTTCGAAGATATTTACCTAACGTTCTACATACATATGTTCTTATCGATAAGATATGGGGGATGTGAAATACGCTACTATGTATTAGTACTAGTTGAGACGCTAACCCGGCCTTATTCTCGGCCCGCTCCCAACTGGCGGAGCCGCATGATTTCAGCACCGAACAGCTGGCGGAGGAAGACGTCCGACAACGACCATCTCAACCTGCCAGATTACGAATCAAACCCAATCTCCCATTATTTTGGAGGCTCTTGTTCCTGGTATCGGCTGCCAATCCATGTTGTCGATGCAATCATACTGGGGTATTGGCGAAGCGCATACAACTTTTGGGAGATGAGCAATAACACAGGACGAGTACGCCCTTCCCAAGCCGTTGCCTCCAAGTCTGGACCAACACCCTTCTCAGCTAGGCAGCCAACCCTTGCCGTACCATCCTCTAAATCTCCTTCCGCTTCTCGTTCACCTTCACAGGCTCGCCAATTGGGCAAGTCCATTGCATCAGCCAGTCAAACCAATGGATCCAACGATAAAGCTACAGCGGCTCTGATCCGCCGCGTTCTCTGCCCTCAGTCTGGTAGCCATGGGTCAGAACAGCGCGAGCGGGGAACCCCTCGACCACTAGAAGAGTTGCTTCCTCCCCTTACGAGTTCGAACGAAGTGGATCTACAGCTTTATGCTCTTATTGCAATCATAATTAAAGAATTCGTTTATGCCTGGTACTCAAAAATTACCCCAGACCACACGTTTACCGATGAAGTTATACAAATTATCGCCCACTGCACTCGTGCGCTCGAGCAAAGGCTCCGGCAAGTAGATGTGGATGCTTTGGTCTTGGATGAGATTCCTGCGCTGATTGAAGCACATATTGTTGGTGAGAATCGAGTGCAGCCGTGTGAGATCGATGCTTCCAAGCTGGCTGGGCTGACAACGGAATCGGAATATAGCGTACCGCACCGCCCGCCAAAGCCCACATTTAAACCGCTCTACGTCCTATCTTCATACAGTCTACCATACTTTGAACCCACATCCAGCGCTTTCCCCTGTCCCTGAGGTCTCCGACGGTGTGACGATCGCGGAGCAACAGAAACGAGAGACGGCGTACCGCCAATTACTTGCCCAGGGTGTTTTGGCTGTGCTTCTCCCAACCGAGGATTTGGAGAATGTTTACTTGAGGACATTGGTTGGTGATATTTTGGCGGATATGATCTTGGGCGAGCTTGTCGGTGATAAAGCGAGCGAGGGTCCATTTATCTGGGAGATTCTCACACGGCTCATCACCGTGATAAAACAAGACGGCCATAAAGACGAGGAGGCGGAGCACGGTCAAAAAAGCCGACTGGAGAGGTTTGGATTGTTTGTCCCCAGAGAGGACTCTGGCCGCAGCGATTCGTCTGGTGCAAACCAATCAAATTTATCAATGCTGCTGTGGAGAATACTGCAATATTGCTATCTGACATTTATGACTATTCGATTTGTATTGGTTGGACTTTTTCGAGTAGCGTCACCGTCGCTTCCCGTGTCTTCACATAGACTACCATCTACCTTTTCATCAACTCCCGCCAATCCTACGTGTGAACCTCAACCCTGGTCTCGCAATGGTAGCCCCCGTCGACCCGTTCTCAAATATAGAATGTTTGGCATGGTTTCGCAATTACTCGATGTGCCTGGACGAATGCCATGGCTCGGCGGCGTCCTTGCTCTCGTCCAGCATGCGATGGTCGAAGGGCCAGGAAAGTTTGGAGATACGGGACAGATAGTTGACAGGTAAGCCTAAAATATCGTTTTTGGTTTTGTTCTCCCATCCACAGTGCACGAATCGAATCGGCTTTTTTCTCCATTCTTTTCAGGAATGAATGAGACCTTCCCTTTATTGTGTCATCGTCTCTTTTTCGATGCTGTCCACCATGTGTATCATAATGTCCCAACGGGTAGGGCATCGTTCAAATCGTTCGTCACCTGTGCTGGGATCCCTGGCTCTTTTCAAAAAAAAAAAAAAAAAAAAAAAAAAGGGATCATGCGGTGTTGCAGTTGCATCTGCTAAATATCCCAGCATGCAATCGCGGCATTGGAAGGGATACAGATGGGCCGTTGGTGATTGCGTGCATGGTCCTCCGGTCACTTGATCTGAAGGTCGTTGGCCCTCGTCCAATGAGCACGCCATTCTGCTCCAAGACAAAAGGTTGGCATCTGTGTGGCCTTTATCCACCCAAAGTTGCGCTTTCCGACATGCCCAGGAAACCCTGTCATCTTCACCCGTTACCCGTCTTTGTATGCACGGAGGTATTTTACCTTGGTTGTTGTCATTTTCGTCTTAACCTTACCGTTACAAAACGTGTTTTTACCGTATTGTTGCTCAGCCACTCAGCAACTTTCGATTTCCGTTTTCTTTCGTTTCTTCCTAGCGCCCTTTTCCACCCGTTTCGGCCCTTTCCTTTCTTGCAAAAGCAGTATTTTCCTTCGCAGTTCGGCTAGTAGCTGTTGCAGCATTTTGCTTCCTCCAACCAATGCCGGATAAAAGCATATAGCACAGGATCAGCAGACAGGCCAGAATAAGCCGGTCGTCCTAACCGCCTTGGCCTTTGCCCCATTGGCTGCTGTTATTTGGGTTGCTTTTGGCCGCCTACATCGGGACCGGGCCTTCCCTCCCGTCCGCGCAAAAGACGCCCATTTTCTTTTAGCGTGAGACATGCCATTGGTCGATCATTTCCTTATCGTTCTGGAATCAGCCAACCAACAACCGCAAAAATATGGCAGCTCAACACACGGGGAGTGGATCACGAAGGGATCCAGTCTGTGGATGCTCTACTCTGATCATCCCCCACATGATCTTCTCCTGCTTTATCTGCAAGGCAAAATTCCAGGCCATAACGAAATCGACATTCTCCAGGATGTCTCTTATCCCCGCTCTACCAGCCAATGGCCGATCAGTTCGAACTTTTCGGGCAATAAGCATATTCTGATCGAGGTGAGATCAGCGATATCGGGGGCTCCCTCTCTCCGCTCCAGGGGTTTTCGCATCATGGCTAGGGCGCAAGCAACGGATATTCTTTTCCCTTGTTTCTCTCACTCGTTTCGAAGCGCCTATGATGTCGCCGTTTCCGTTCGAGGAGACGCTCGTGATGATGTTTACAATCTTATCATCCCCCTCATTCGATTTTAGCTTCATCATCTTTTCTCCAATCGACCATGATTGATAATCTCGCTTTCACTGGTTCGGCGAGCTCCAAAACTTGCCCACTTTTGCTCTTGTCGTGATCCTCGTTCATACCCCTCTTTTCAACAAACTAACGTTCTTTAATTTTCTTCATTCGGCTTGTGATTTTACCATGACTTCTCAATGTCCTAGTACGGACTTATCCTTGAAACGTTTCTTGCTCACCTGCTTACAACGTTCGCTTGGCCCCTCCTTAGGTTCCTGCACGAGACAATCCAGAAGCGTCTATTTACCCCCACATTACTTCCCGTTCTCCTACTCGCGATTCGAACAACTCTATTTCCCTTCAATACTAAACCCAGTCAGAATGCCAACATTTCTACTCTTAGCTCCTCAACAGGCTCCATGGTGCCTCAGGCTGAAGTGGGGATTAACAGTGACTCGGTTGGTAATAATGGTAGGATGGGATGGACTTTCTCGCTTACACCTTCACAACCCTCAGCACAATTGCCCGTAACTCTCCAAACCTGGTCGGAATCGCAAGCCTTGTCGAAGACTCAAGAAAATATGATCAAAAGAGCATGCGCTGCTAGCATACTGTCGCTAATCCCGCGTAGAGTGGCATTGACGGTATTCTGTATTCCAACCCTCCATGCGAAGAATCCGGGAAATAAAACCTTAAATTTAGAATCTCCAAAAATCACCAGTCCAACTATCCACAGCGGGAGCAGGGAACCAAAAGCCGTTACCGGTTATGAGGCCCAGCAGAGTTCATCGAGCAGCCAGAGGTATACAGCTCCTAATCCGCGCGAGTCGGGTGCCAATTTTCCTGCATCTCAACCCACTTCTTCTCCTACAATAACAAACATTCAATCTACGGTTACGAATAGAAAGAGTAAGAATAGCGCCGGTGCCGCCCCTATACAAACAACAGTGTTGCCTTCATCTGGATATGAAGCAAATGCCGGGGCCGATGATGAGGATGACAACGAAGAAACCAACGAACAAGAAGCCCTCCTCTTAGCCATTGAACATGATTTCTTGGACATATTTGCAGATAAATATTGTAACAAACACCTCATGTACTCCATCGTCGAGACGGTCCTCGTTAAGCTCCTACCTGAAATCTCCGAGCATGGCATCGCCGAATTAATGGCTGAACGAGGCGTCTAACCAGTATATACCTACTCCGTCTATGCTATTCCTTCCCCCTTTTTTTTTTTTTTTTTTTTTTTTTTTTTTTTTTTTTTTTTTTTTTTTTTGCTTATTCCTTCGTATTTTTCTGTTAACCGCCCTCCTCCGTAGATCATCTCATTATTCTTAATTTTTCCAACGTAGTCGCACACCTACAGGTTACCGTTTGCTCAGTAGGCCAGCCCACGCACCTTTTTTAAGCCACTGTATTTCGCGCGGTCCAGGTATGACCTCACGGAAGACCCTTTCCTCGCTTCCCCGCCGCTACCGTCTCGTATAGTTCATCAAGGGAGAGGATGCCGTACTATCTGCGCCGCGCTGCGCGCCCATTGAAAAACTATTGCCGATTCCTTCCCGTGTCGTGTTCAGCTACAAACCATCTTAGTTCTTTTGCATGCCTCAAGTAACTCTAATTATTTCTCCCCCCAAAAGAAATACCCATCCCCCCTTTAATCATTCCCCCGATCCATCAAAACGATTAAGTTGAGCGGAGATTAAAAGGGCAAAGAAAGTGAAAAAGCGCCACTATATTCGTTACTGAAGCGCTGAAGCACAATAATGGCTGGCATTCTTCTTTTCACTCGACGGTCCAGGACCCGCTTTACCTTTTGTAAATATCAGCGATTCCTTTTTTGCATGCGTCCCTGCTATCTTTCTCGCTGAACAAATGCGTTCCTTTTAAAATCTAGGGAATAGAGTAGAAACAAACAATGTTACCCCATCTGCAGCTTTAATTGCTTTTGCTTGATTCTCTTGGATAAAAACTGAGCTGGATTGGTGTTTTAACTAATAAATGTCTGAATTTTTCCGTTTGACCACGAGGAGTCTAGGAGCTTTCTTTTTCTTTTTCTTTCTTTTCTTTTCTTTTCATTTCTTTCTTTTTTTTTTTTTTTTTTTTTTTTTTTTTTTTTCCCCTAACTGAACTAGCCATCTGAGAGCTACGCTGCGTACCTGTTTCTCATTTTGTGGACTTGTCCACCTCAGCCTTATTAACTGCTTCTCTTCCATGATACCCTGCATATGCGACGATACTGGTTGATATCCTTCTCTTTTAAAGGGAGAAAAAAAAAAAAAAAAAAAGCATCCGTGCGGCGCAGAGTCAACTCGATGACGCTGCATAAAATAGTGAAATGGACCAGTTCCTACTCGCCAGCTTCGAAGGTTCGTGCCGTTTTTGAACGCCCCGAGGCGTTTTGTTTCGACCCCTCCTTTTGCGCCCGGGGAGTGGTTAGCTAAAATAATTATAAAAGATCTTATGATGGGCGAGGAAAATAGTTGCAGTGTAGCGTAGCGGATTTGATTTGTCCAAAAATCCAAGCATCAACAACCCCCAGCGTAAAGAGATACATACGTCACTTGCGTTTGGCTCGTTCGCGGGCGCTAAATTTTAAATTTTTTAACTCTTGTGGTGTTTGGCTCTGGTTGAGGGTTGAGTTGGTAAAGCGCCTTTTCCTGATAGATCATTTGTCAGGTCTCTGGAGCCGCTGGAGGCGAAGAATTGTTGATATATGGAGGGAGTACTTTTTAAGTTTCTTTAGATCATCCAACGTACAGTACGTAGAGTACGTGAAGAGTACCTATGTGGCTTGTTCCTGTACATCTCCTTTGCGAACATTCTTCTTTGCACCTGGGGTTAAAAATTATCTTTTGCATTACCGCCCTGTGAACCCCTTTTTTAAGACCGTGTTCGGCCAGAAATTCGACTGCTCACCTCCGCCGTAGTTCGATTTCTCACCCTTCCCCTCCTCCCCCGCCAAATTTCAGGAGAAGATATTTTTTATAACGGATAGCTTGAATTGGGAGAGTAATGCAAAGTGGCATTTAATGGAACTCAGTGCATCAAGACGTATGGCAATTGCCATCGGAATGTCCAAACAGCTAATACTTGACCTACTATACTCCGTATACTGAATTCACTCAGCTTGTGTACAAGTGCAGGGTAGAGTCCACTTTTATGCGGTTTATTTGTTGGGTTAAAATGAATATATGCCTTTAGGAACAAAAAATTAAAAAAAATAAAAATACAAAAGACATCATGAGAGAAAAAAAATAGTTATAAAGACCACATGATTGACTGTATGCAAATTAAGAGAACTCCCTGTAAGACATGACGTCGAAGCATGTGCATTTTCGTCGGGGTACTTAGGGTTGACGAAACTGCGCAAGCTACATATATCTGTATACATCTGATCTGAACTGAAAAGTCTTTGCTTGTCAGATCGGGCTGTGTCGGGTCAGCTTGCGTAGTACAAAAGTGAAGGCAAAAGAGCAGGGGATTAGGCGTGTGGGGGTGGGGTTTGGACATAGAACAGCAAGATGTCGGAAACATGAGCTTCTCAAAAGTAAAATATAATATGGATGGATAACAGGTTTGGGGACTATATATGCATAAAGAACCAGAAGAGTTAGGAAAACAACATAAGAAAAGAAACTCAACAACCCAGCTAGCAGCATGGTCATTTCGAAGCTCCGTTGGCAATGTGGTTGTTGCACCATCCGGATGCTCTGCAATATGAGCACGATGGAAACGATAAGGAAACGGTGACTTAGTGTCAGTAGCTAAAATAGCCATAAAATCGAGAGCATGAAGAGATCAGATAAAAATAACACTTTCTTGAGAAAGATATGTCAACACAAGCCTCAAAACCTTCAACAGATAGCCATATGCCCAAAAATGCCAGCAACCCTTTCCCCGATTCCCGGGGTTTCATGCTTCCAAATTTTCATATAGCCATTTTCGAACCAATCACCAGGCCCCTTTCCGCGCGAGCGGTATATATTTAGATTTCCTGACACAAACAAAAACAAATCAAACAAAAAGGTCGGAGTAAAGAGAAGGGAAGAGAGTATAAAAAAGGAGATGAAACAGAGGGAAAAGAATATAGAGGGGGAAAAAAACATACACAAATGAAAAGGGAAAGCAAAACGAAGGAGATTCCAATCCTCTTCAGACAGGTGGAAAGGCAGGAGAAATGCGATAAGGGGAGATAAGTGAATTGAAGGGCAAATAAATAATATCAAGCCAAGATAATAACTCCGTTGGAGCAGCAAGCTCTAGAAGTTGTAACTGCATCTTCCAAGGCTGATTGTTTCTGTTTTTTGTTCCGTGTGGATCCTTTCTTGTGCGATAAACCGACGAGTATGATTTCCGATGAATGATAACGAGTTGATGAAACAAAATGCAAAGCAAAAAGGGAAAAAAGATGACAAAACCGTAGAAAGTTAACCAAGCAAAAGCCGATGGTGGATTGGCTGAGGAAAAGTAAAAAAAGCATGATGAATACCAATAAAAATTTTATAATATATGGCAGTTATCAGGTAGGCGACTGGGGGTGGCGCGGTCGACGAGGACGGGAATTGCTCAAAATTCGTTGGTCCTCCAGTACATTCATTGCCTTGGCTTGAGACCCAGCCTGAGTTCAGAGGCGCCAAGCAAAGCTGAGGTCGGATACTGGGCCTTTCCCAGAATTGCACAACAAGTCCCGCCCATTTATTGGGACTGTTGTCGTACCACAATGAATTATCGTGACTTTGCCGTCATGCGGATATGTATCCTCGGCGCGTGGTGTAGGGGTGTGATACCCGATACCTAAGTTTGTTTCAACGTATCTCTTTCCTGACCTTCCGAAGGGAAGGTTCGGGTGTCGAGAGCAACACAGAGCAGGCCGCTGCGGCCGACGGAAAGTAAATCGCGGACGAGTTCCGCATATAGGTGATTGCGTGCTGCGATCGTGTAAAGGATTCCTTGGGGTTGATTTCCTTTCTAGCGATATCCCCTCATGAACATTAAAACAAAATTCGATGCATATTTTCGAGAAAATCTGAACTCATAATAAAGTATCAGAGAAGCTAGCAATAGCTTCCGTTGTAACGTTATAAAATGACCACTGAAAAAAAAAAAAAAAAGAAGAAGAAAAATGAAAAAAATATTTAGCCACGCCTTCGGGTCATAAAGTGTGAATGCTTCTCTTTTTGCTCACTCTGTGACCGTCAGCATGCTCATCGATGCGATGCAGTCCTGCAGTTTGGCTCTGCGCTAACTCGAGTTTTTGCATTAATTTTCCGATGGTTACATAGTCTTGTGCTACCAGGCCAGTCGGTTGACTGTTAAAATAGTTCAAAACAAGCTCCAGAGCACGGCGTGCCTCATCATGGGTAGGAGAGCTAGGAGATACTGGAGAGGCAGTAGTAGATTGCGGTGGGGGTGGGGGTTGCATAGAATTTGTTTTGATCTCAGGATTGCTGCGATTCCTCTGCATTAGGGGTGATTCACTTGATGACGGACGAGTATTTGCGTGGTCTTCATCGGCAACACTTGGAGACGTGGACGGCTGAAAGACATTTTTAGGTGACACATGATCCGACGATCCGTTGGCAACTGGGCCTGGTTCCGTCACGGCAATTGGGAATGTCTGGCTTCTTGGTCGACTGGAATTGTTGACCGAGTCTTGTTCAACACGTAATTGACTTTCAGGAATGAAAGGGTTCTCAGAGAAGATAATAGGGCCAGAACTGGCCGCGCTGGCCGAGAGCGAGAGTTTTCTGTCGAGTGAATTTGTACTTTGCGAGTGAGAGTGCTGCCGGAATTCAGCGCCATACCCCGGCAGGGCACCATCAATGCTCTCTTTCTTTATTGAACTTTTCTGTTTTGGAGACAGAGGCGAAGGTGTTGTTGTTCCATTCGGTGATAGAGGAGAAATTCCATTAGGGGTTTGACTCGATGCGTTGGCTTGTCCGTTTCCTGGGCTATCCAGTTCATTTATTGTATCAATTGAGCCCTTCCGCGACTGAGAACTCCGTAAATAATTCTTCTGCTTGAACTTTTCCAACCAATTGGAGTTCAATATTTTCTGATGGTTTTCAGGGCCACCAACAGTACTCGCGAAGAAAATGGCCTTTTCTTTAATCATCTCATCGTTTAATTGACCGCCTTGGCGCAAGTGGTTCCTGACCCAGTTCGACAGAGCCCGCTCAATATCCGGAAATTTCCCTTTTGACTTCTTTATTGGTGAACGACTTCCATCATCTGGGCAGAGATATTTTTCTTTTTGCCGTAGAACCTTGGAAACAGTGCTGAAAAAAACTAAGGTTAGCAAAGTGGACAGGCAAGGTAAAATAGCGCTAAGTCTTAAGGTGGTTTGTAATATATACCTTCGTTCCACCCCAAACAAGGCTATACGAATTAAAAAAGGAAAAAAAAAAAGTCAGCATGACAGCGTCTACAGGAGTTGATTCAGCACACGGGGCAAGTATTCTTTACCTCCAATCTCTGTTTGTTTTACATGCGGGTGCCTTTCGTGATACTCACACATCCGACGTCGATCATTATCCGTGAGAGTCCGTCGCGGCGTAGGAGCTGTGGTTATTGGTGCTGTATGGATAGGATGCAGACTAGGCATGGAGGGCATCGGCATTGGCGGGAGAGGGACTGGGGGGAAGGTGGACTGTGTAGTCAACATGCTCGGCCATTGCGAAGGCGTGGACAGAGGAAGTAATTGCTGCGATGTATACGGTTGCGGAATGGACATGCTATAAGAGGGTTCTACTGGCATGACTGGTGAAGAGCCATAGGTAAAACCATTGAACTCGTTTATTGGCGATTGGTGCTGAGACTGACCATATCCTCCTCCCATATCAACCCATTGAGGCGCGGTGAAATCATGATCTTGTGGTTGCGCTTCAGTATCCATTTCTCGCTCTTTCTCTCCTTAAACCAACTTAATGATGACCAGGATACCCTTTTTTCCCCAGCTATTAGCTTTGCGGTCCGTAACCTGTCGAGGTTGTAAGGGTGGGCCGAAGACGAGGCAATATGCCGCCAAGCTGAGGTAGGATAGTAAAAGTAGGTCCGCTGCAGCCAAAGCGCAAGTTGAGCGGGTCTTCCAACTATAAATAAGAAGAGAAAACCCGATGCATGATATAAAATAGCAGCGCGAAATACAGGAGCCCGGGTCAACTAAAAATGAAAGTGAAAAAGGAAAGGAAAAGGGCCAAAAGGGAGAAGGTCAATTCAAATGATTCCAGGTACAAAGCCAGACAAGCCCAGTTATGCACCTTTTCGAGCTTCGTTGATGAGAGCGACAGGAGGTCCGGGAGGGGCCGCACGGCCGTTGTTATAATAATCCGGAGTATACCACAAGAAGGCAACATAAAGGGACAAGGTGCAGAAGTACCCTTGGAGGTGAGGGATTCTTTGCAAGGAGCAGATCAGCTAAGACTGATTGGTTTTGGCTTTTTTTTTTTTTCTTCCTTGGTAAGTAAAAGAAAAGTTAGGAGAGTACGAATGGCGCGAGAATAAAAAACAATAAAAAAGGCCACCAGGAAGTACGAAAAAAAGGCTTTTGGTGATCTGACTGGGTAACTCTGGTATTGACTTTTGCTAGACAGCTGAAAGTAACGGATTGCAGCCAATCCGCGGGGCTACCCGGACCTTGATGAGAGGGGGAACTGTCAATGCATTCATCTCATTAGGGCATTCATTTTACAGCTGGAAGAGAGTAACGAAAGACGGCAAGGAAATACAGTATTCTTACCAACACCATGCAGACAATACGTAAAAATGGAGAGGAAAGTCTCGCCCATTGGTGAATATAAAAGAGTGGACAGGCCGCACCGGCAATCTGGTTGGAGACCTCAAGTTTACGGTAATTATAGTCGCCCCCAACCCAAGTTCACCACCACGGCTTTAGAATGAGGGTGGATATTGTAAGTAAGGTTTTAAAAATAAAATTATGAATGGATATGGAAAAACAAAACTGGTGGTAGAACTGATCGTTATGATACGGCGCAATCCGACATTCTTTGGAAACCACGCATAAATCAGACGTGAAACCCAAGGATAGAGAGGCCTTGGGCAGCAGAAATGTTTCCACCCACATTGTTACGGGGCGCAGGGGTAACGTATGGTCTGCGTGGTATTCCCATACAGTTCCAGCCCAGCCACAGACGAGACGAGGCCGTCAGAGACAGCAATTACCCAGTACGCGCGGAAAAACTGTCAGGGGAGGGGTGAGGAAGGGGATTGAAGAGATCCCGAAGCATCAAATAATAACTGGCAGGCGACCAAACTGCCTAGAGAGAGTAAGGCCTGTTTAGCGCAATATAATGCCTGAAAGTTTGCTGAGGGGAAGGTTTCGGCTGTGGGTAAATGTCATGATAGGGCAGAGGGGAGCTAGGCGGAGCATCAGCGATCTTGGTGTGGAAACATCGGCAAACGGTGGAAGGTAGGATGCATGGAATGGCTTTCCGCGTTGTTTGACTCGTGCTCTGAACACCAGATTCGAAGATCATTTCGGATCAGCTCTCAGTGGAGTTTCGAAACAACATGAATGGTCCGCGTTTTGGCGCCTTATTAACATCGAATCTCCTCCTAATTGTCTTAGTGTTGCATCACTGCGGCCGGATCTGCTTGACCCATTGGACCTCACTCAGTGTTGCAAGATCATATGAGCTTAAAGGAATCATCTGCCCATCTTTGGACCAGCTATCAGCCAAAGGGACGCGCCCATATGTAAAGCGGGAAAGAAGAGATGAAAAGTATGAGTATTATTACTTGACCGTCTTGTCCACGAGACTGAAGAATTCCCGAGGACGAGAGGGCTCTCAAATTGACATGATTCAAAGGATGGCATTTTGCCATTTCTGGAAGTCTGGGGAACACGAACCAGGATCGTACCCCGCTCCGGCTCCAGATCTCTTTCTTGGCGCTCGTTTGATAATGGCAATCACGTGAGAATCGGATAAAGCTGGCTAAGCCCAATTAACCAAATATCTTGGTAGGTAGGCAATCGAATATCAGCGCCCAGGTTTCTTAGGCGAGCAGAGCAAACCACTAATTTTTCTTTAGCGACTGACGTCTGATTTTTATGGTTCCTCCTGCCATAGATGCAAGGCCCAAACCAAAACGAAAGGGACATGAAGCGCCTGAGGAATATGTTCTGCTTAAAATTTGCTGATTGGCTGGAATTCCGGGTTATTTTGAATGTGTTCTCTTCAGTATTTGTGGACCATCAATGCACTCTCAAGCATACAATTCTTTCGAACTAGTAACGATCAACCGTTTAGGAGAAAAAGCAAGCATTCGGTACGGCGAAGTAAAACGACATGCTTACGGAACAATACAATACATTACCAGGTTGACATATACGATACGGATGTATCGTCCTGTTCTTTCAATCGCACTAGCGGAGGCCACGGGCCCGGGCCGGTTGGATTTGTGCACTTCTTGACGCTGACCCTTGCTCTGTTGCCCAGTCAGTCGGAGTTTGGCTGGAGCGGCGTACAGTAACGAGGGAAAAAGCCATCGTGTCGCTTAGGTTGCTATTTTCTATCCTCATTAGTTGTCCCGTTGGATCCAATGTCTTCGATAGCATACGGTCATGGGCCTCCTCAGGGATCTTTTGCGCCATCCTGAGGTCAGGACTTTTGGGGCTGCGGGGAGCCGCGGCGAACCTGATTAATATTTGTTTGATTTTGGCGTGGAGGCAAGGGCTCTGTGATAGTTGATCGTTGAAGCAAGGACGGTCTGCTTTGACTGGGATACCAAACTTTTCAGCCAAGGGGACGGCCAGCCGTCACTGCTGCTGCAGCAGGAGGTTGATGATCTTATAGTTTGTCAAAGTTGCTCCACATGAAGGTTTGCTATACACCAACGAATGTCTTCATTTTGGAATTTCAAAAATCTTCACGAGGAAAAAGTTGCTTTTGATTTGATGAATTTTGGCATCCTGTAAGCGCTGGGGAATTTCGGAAATTTGACCGTGGCATTGGCTGTTGATCCATCATCAATATCTTCAAGATCTTTTGCGGAGCCTATGAGATAACTAACTAGGTCAGAGCAATTGGTCAACAACTGATACGATTTGGCTCCATCCCATGAGGACGGTGATGATGTATTTTACATGTGCTCGTTGGCCCAGGTTTCCCGCTTTTGTCGATCTCAACTCGGATACTTTTTTCCTTTGGCTGTTGCGCATATTTGAGTCGCATGGCACAAAGCATCAGAGTAACATGTAACATGTCGTAAAATAAGGGGGATATCGAGGGGATTGCAATTGACGTTCGTTGAGCCACTCTGGCTGACTAATCCACTCGCTTAACCAACAAAAGTTTAGACCTTCATCTATGAAATACAAAACCCTACAAGCTTGCTGAAATTGGCATTGCTGAAATTTTTCATTGCGAAGACAAGTGGGGGTTTGGCTGCAGGGTAAAATATGTGTGTGTGTGTGTGTGTGTGTGTGTGTGTGTGGAGATGAAGATTTTCATGTATAAACTCGGTGGACTTTACACGTTCAAATCCTCCCCAATCCGCCCAATCTGACGACGTATATAATAATAATAATTACTCCAGCTCCGCGTTGTATACTCCGTAGAGCCACGCCCAAAAGGATATTAATCCCATAACAAGATGTTATTCCGATGCCAAGAACTATGGCCTCCCGGACCAAGATGATTCTGATCCCCACGCAACTGTGTACTCCGTAGTGTGGTTTGGGATCCTTTTCAGCTCCGCCAGGAGCAGGTGTGGAAGCGCATCCACCCGTCCATGTCCTTTATTTTGAATTGCCTTCAAACCTCATGAACATAAGCATCATCGCTAACTGGGCTGCAGTATGATCCCTAGCGCGGCCAAGCAAGACTCACCCTGTCTCCGTTGAGCTTGGTTGAGTTAGGCCTGATCGACCGTCCAAGCTCCGCATATATTTTTCTAACTTACAAGAACTAAAAACAGACCCAGCTCAAGCTGGGCAAAAATGATCTATCAAATTATGACGCCGGCAGTCATGCTTCGGATCAGCACTGTCACCCCAGGAGCGCCAAGGGGTCCTTGGCTCAAGAACTGCGCAAAGACCATCCTGGCTCAAACTACCCCTTCATGGACGAGTATGGGCACGTTTTTGAAATCTCCTCCAGCCGATGGCACGGCAAGCCAGACCAAGGATGCCGCTTTTGAGCTTCCAGGTCCCTGTACATTAAGTCCTTTAGGGAAGATATTATTTGTGCAAGTCTCCTACAGGCCAAATAAATTCTACAAATCGTACGGATTAAAGGAGTGGCATTCACGGCTGCACAATATTCTGAAAGGGAAAAAGAAGGCTCTGCCCAAGGAAACACCAATAATAATGTCACCTTTGGCATTCATCCAGAGTTGAGCCCGCTCATCGTCAGTTTAGCTCTCAGAATTTCACATGCTCAGAATCTTCAACAGATCATTTTCGTGGACCAATAGGACATTTTTAGCACATATCTGAACATGATGTTGTGAACAGCGACCGATTATCAGCTTTACGGAAGAGACTGCGAGGCCTAATTTAATGACATTTGCAGAAGCGAATCCTGGATATCCTGAACAGATGCGACAATTCTTATCGCCAGCAGACTGCCCTCCTGAGTCCCTAGCTTAGATGTTTGAAGGTGCACGATAGACAGTTTCACGAGCATCAAAGATCAGCTGCCTACGCCGACTTTTCAGGCAAGATCTTTGTGGGTAATTGAACTCCATCTGCAACACAAAGATAAACCGGGAACCAACCACAAGAAAGGCTCAAGAAACACTTGGAGAGACAACTCAAACCAATTTTTATGGACGATTGTGTATTTCATTTCCATTGTTTGATTCTAATCTTCTGGGTTATTTCTTTGTTCAATTCTCATCAAACCCACGCATAGCTGCGAAAAAGCATCAAAACCCCTGCATCTTGTAAAATGCATCCGGCTCTAATAATCTGTACCTTGTCCCTCTCAAATTCAGCCATCTATCCTTGCCAGGTCTGGACTCAAAACTCAAGGATTCTTCTACTCCCCGGTCCGTCCCCAAAAACGCCGATGTAAAGGAGGACGCGGGTTTTCAACGACCTTAGGCCTATCCATTATTAATGCCAAGACGGAAACTTACAAAAACAGTCCCCTTGCTGCCATGCCAGGGCAAGATGTTGCTAGGCTCTAGCTCCATCCCACCCGAACACCTCGTTTAAATCCAACATCTTGCTTCGCAAGCAGGACAGGAATTTCCGTTTGCCATTGGAGCTTCTTTTAACTCCCACTGTTTCTCCATTTATGGTTAAAGGAATGGACTACGACCGCCGCAAGTCGTTCGCTAAAAAGAGAATAATATCTCGTTTGAACTTCCCCCACGGTTAGGTTATGGACCAAAATCCATCGCGGCTCGTTTCAATCCTTGCTGATCCAGTCTTCCAGCCGGCCCTCCTTTTTTGTGAGGTTCTTATGTAAGAGATCGCCCGGGCAAGTTTCGCACTATTTTTCCGGAAGCGAAAGGGAAAAGTTTGAAGCTGGTTCTCTTCCGCTTCGTGCGAACTTTATTTTCTTTTTCTTTTCTTTTTATGTCCTTTGTCGTTGCGTTGATGGCTGGCTGGCTGAGCGAAGCTAGAGAGTTGGATCAGAACTAAACAAGTCCGTTAAGGTAACTTTCAAACCTCCCTTCGTCGGCTGTCCCAAGCTGAATTGATCTGAAAGGAAGCGGCAAATAAAAATGACAAGGGTCTAAAGCTAACAATTCCAATGTAGGCTAAGGCCGGCTGTTTCCTAAAGTTTTTCCTTTTCATGCAGTATGAAGTCATCTGCGAAATCTGAATTCAAAAAGAACCAATAGAACGGAAAAATTGGCCGGATGCTTGAAGTGGGAACAATATTGCCATTTCACAGAGGTGAAAAATGTTAATTGAACAAGAAGGACAGAACCTGTTCGGAAAGTGGAAGAAGACTCCAATTCCAATTCCCGTTGCCTACTCTCATCCTTTCATTTCAATTGATATCCAGCTAATTTCGTTGTTTGCATGCATTCGTAACTCCCGATATTTTGCGTTCGGGTCCCTCGCCTAAGAGAGTATAAGTTCTTTTCCAAACTTTGGCTTCAGTGGTGCTGATCTGATCTGATGCCTTCCAGTGGTTTAAAAACTCTCGAGTTTTGAACTTTTTTGTCCTACATTACCTAGATAAGCCCTGGGGCCTTTTCTCGTGCGAGTTACAAGCTCAGGAACATCTGAATCAGAAAGCGTTGCTGCTGGGAGACTCGGTGAGAGAAGTGTCCCTGGAAGTACCTCTAAATGGGTTCGCAATAGCTGGGACAGCGCATGGCTCAGGGTCATGCATATGGAAGAGAGATATCCTTCCCCATATCTTCCCCAGGCCTTTTATTTTATCGGCTAGTTCATCGATTAACCGTTTCTTCGTCAGGCCTACACTCCAGTACATACATAACGCTTGAATCTCTGCCAAGCAAAGACATTGGGGTCTTTTTTTATTCAAGCGTTGCAACTACATGGCCAACCAAGAGTTCCAAAAAATGTGCCACGATAGGGGAGTGGTTCCCAGTCTGATATGCAAATGGATACCCACAGCTTGGAGAGAAAAGCCATTTATCGATATATTCCCCTAGGAGCTACTCCGTGAATCCTTCTATGAGGGAGGCTATATGGCAAAGAGATGCAACTGCTCCTATCAACAATCATCATACCAAACATACCTATCTATATTTCTCATGATGTCAATGGCGTTGCGCATCTTGCAGCACAGAGCCGTATCTACTACGTTGGTATGGTATAATATTCCGGAATCGTTACCAGCAAGCCTTAAACGCCTGCAAATGGACGAGATGAAACCCCCCTCAATTGACATGATAGAAGTTGCTCCCAAGGGGGTGGGTCTGACACTGAAGAACTCTGGTTTCGATTTCTAATTTCGGTGAACTTGGGTACATAGATCTTGATGTCCAGGAAATAGATCTCTTTACCGCTTCACCCTGTTGTCGTTCTGACAAATTGGCTCTAAAATAAACCGGGACAGGGTCCTGCTTAAGCCCATGCTCATGCTCATGGATTTCCCTGTTTTCAAGAATCCTAGGAAAAGAAACCGGCTCGATTGGGATGGAGAATGGTATCCCCACCTGGTCCAGAACGAGATGTCTCCTTCTTTACAAGTTCAACACCCTAACTTTGTTAATGATAGAAAACGAATTAAAATGAAAGTAGGCGTTTGCTTTCGGTGATAGGAAGCTAGGAGGCTCTCAAACAGCCCAAAAGCATTCAGACCAAGTTGAAGAAAAAGTGACAAAACCTCTCAACAATTGAGAAGAGTCACCTCCCGAGGTACTCCTATCTCGTTTACAGAGCTCTCCTCTTGATATGAATAGACACGCCCCGTTTTGTTTACTCAACGATACTCGAAGAGTCGGCCGACAACCCTGATTTCACGGCCGTGCTCTCCTTTCGAAAACACATAGGAATTGGGATGGCGAAAAATGAACCATCAAATGGACAAGCAGAGGATAGCTAATATAGGTGGACGGGGAATGGATATGCACGGTAACTCAGATACCCCAACTTTCGGTATATTCTTTAGACGTTTAGTTTGGTTCGATCCATGTTTACCTTTTTACGAACGCCTTTCAGCTGTCGATGAATGAATCTGAACGGGTCACTCACGACGCCGGCGCAAGAGACAGCGGAGAGACGGAGAGAGATAGAGAATGAGAAATGAGAATGAGAAATGAGAATGAGAAATGAGAATGAGGCCTTCGCATCAATACCCGATAGAGAGTGGTTCTCGGCTATTGGAAAGAAATGAAGAACAGGAAACAAGAGGGGAAGACTGGACACCGGGTATATATATATAATCTTATAGAACTGGTTGGCTGGCTGACATCGCCTTTTTCCTTTTCATCTTTTTCTCCCTTCTACGCTCCCCTACTTCCCTTTTTCAAAGAATAATAAAAGTGAGAATATCAGGATAGTAAGTTAGTAGTAGCCTTGTGGTTCATAGCAACGAACGGGATGGAGGCGGAAAATGAAACCAGGGAAAAAAAAACTAGTAGCCGGGTTCAAGGGTTCCGGAAGGGGGTAGTAGGTATTATGAAGGGCAGCATTGCACACACAGTCAGGTTCCCTTTACATAAAAAATAGAAAATAACGAAAATAAAAATAAAAATAATAAAAATCGATGACATGGTGAGATCGGATAACTATAAAATGGAGGAAATATTTTTAGAAGATCAAATGCAAAAAGAGAAGCTGATGTAAATCACACTCATCGCAACCCTTTTCTCTCTAACTATCGAGAAGTCTTCTCTTTTCTCAAAAGATATGGTTCTTCTCAACAACGAACAATTAAAGGGGTAAGTAAGGTAACACAGATGGATATCTAGATGGCTTGGAGTCTTTTGCGACGGAGATGAAGCAAGGGTCTCCGAAAAGCGAAGAAGGGATAAACCGCAGAGTAGCGTTACACTCTAACTACTCTGGTGGGAAAAAAAGAAAAAGGAGGCCGAGCCTGGTTTTCTTTGTTTGATTTTCTTTTGATTTTTGACTCTTTGACTTTTATTATCTTTTTTACACCCTTTTTCAGCCCTCTTCGTGGATCCATGGGATGGAAACAAAGACCCCATGCTTCTCGGTCGCTCACCGAGACGTTCGTCGTAACTAACCTGGAAAAGAGACCTGCCTGCACCGAGACTGGGGATGGATTGGGTAGATATCTATATACTACTAGGGTACTTTGCGTGTAAGTATAGTACGTAGAAGCAGAGCGCATCAGCCCCTTTTTGCACCCTTGCATAAAAGATATGATTGAACATGGATTCTCACATACATAGATACGGTCCACACGGTATGCATTTCCATACAAGGGATGCAATACGCCGAGGGAAAAGAAAATATGGATAGATAGACATTGTTACAGGTGTGTATGAATTCCTTCGAAAGGGAAAAAAAAAAAAAAGAGGGGGGGGGGGGGGGGGGGGGAGATGAAAAAGAACTGCCTGTGTTAATACATTGCTTTTCCTGTGAAGCGGATACCAACATGAGCAAAACACTACAATCCTGAGTCGCTCTTTTGTTCGCTGTTTTACTCTTTTTGATATCCGCCCTAAAGACCATGTTTGTACGTGGACATCTCTCCTTTTGGCGGGAAAAGAAAAAAAAAAGATAGAAGAACCCTATATGCATTCTCCGTGATAGTCCCGACAGACGGCGACGACATAGGCAAAGTACGATAGATAGTACACACAAAGCTTGAAATCCATTTGGGTATAAAATCTAAAATCTAACATGCGTCAAAAGATTAAACTATAAATTTGCCAAGAAAGGAAAGCAATGCCGGAAACCGTTCGTAGGCTAAAACTTATTCAACAAAAAAGAAAATAACTTTTGTTTATTCCTCCGTATTCCTTGGATGCTATGCTTCCCATGATTCGTCTTGAGGAAAAGGGCGTGCGGGTCGAGAAGGCCACGTATGTTTCTATGTATCATGATCGTTATCATCGCCATGGTCCCGCTCCGTTGCGCTGGGTCGTGTGTCCCGGCCGAGAAAATATGTTTTGCGGCGACTGATTCGTGCATCGAGCACCAAAAAAAGAAAAAGAAAGCCATTTGGCTGGTTGTCATTCGTCTAAAATTGGTAAATTAGATCTCTTTTGCTATTTTTTCTGCCTCTTCCTGGTAGGGATTGCTGCATGGAGTGGTCCGTTGTTTGACTTGCATAGCTAGGCCACCTTTTCTTTTCTTTTTCCATGGTGCTGTTTTATTTCATCTGCTTGATACTGTTATCGCTTGATAATTGTGACTGTACAGAAATTTCAAATTAGCATTGCACTTGGGTATGAGACAGAGGGGATAGGGAGGAGAGGAGTTGGTTTCGCATACTTATGTCCTCATCTGCAAGTTCATGACTGAGTCCCACTCTTTGTGGTTGATGTTTGACGGAACGACCATAAACGATTGCATGTTTGAATTGTTCTGCGATGGTTTTATGAATGGAATTACACTTGAGGAAAAAAACAGTTAGCTCTGTAACTAGGATTGCGGGTCCAAGTAAGTCCCCAACATGAGATCAATTGATTAAAACCTACGAAATCTTCAACGGTGCAAGCATTACGCCGCAGAACGACCGGGGACGAATAATCTGGAGTTTTCCCCTTGGGTTTTGTATAGACTCTCCTGAGATCGAGTTTCTCCCACATGAGCTCGAGCAGTTCATCAATGTTCCACCCATGCTCAGAACTGATCGGGCACGCATTCGGGATTCGATAGAGCAGGTCCAATTCCTCAATTGATATAGCATCGATCTTGTTCAATGCATAAACAACGGGGATATAACTCCGACTCCTCGCCTCGAGCACGTCGATAAGGTCATCAATTGTCGCGTCGCACCGAATCGCAATGTCCGCAGACGAAATCCGATATTCGCTCATCACAGCTTTAATTTCCTAGCAAACCACATGAATGAGCAAAAGGCTCCTCCAAAATCCACTGGGTCAAACTTACATCATGATCAATGTGCGTTAAGGGCACGGTACTCGTGATGGAAATGCCACCCTTGTCCTTCTTCTTGAATACGATGTTCGGTGGAGACTTGTTAATCCGGATCCCAAAGCCTTCCAATTCCGCTTCAATGATTTTTTTATCCGTCAGGGGCTTATTCACGTCCAAAACGATGAAGATGAGATTGCAGGTCTTGGCAACGGCAATAACCTGCCGACCTCGACCTTTGCCATCTTTTGCACCTTGAATGATACCAGGAAGGTCGAGAATTTGGATTTTCGCGCCATTATATATCACCTGGCCAGGAACAGTCGTTAGGGTCGTGAATTCATAAGCGGCAGCTACAAAAGGAAAAGAAATGCTTTTAGAAACCTTCCCGCATTAAGTCACTGGTATATCCATGCGATTTTCGACGTACCCTCAGAATGCTGTCCTGTTATTTTGCTCATCAAAGTGCTCTTCCCGACAGATGGGAAACCGATAAACCCCCTTTAACACACAAAAAAGAAGTCGATTAGTGAAATGATGCCAACAACCATGCTGAGATCAGATTCAGAACGTACACGCTCGCTACTCCCGTGCGAGCAACATCGAAACCAACTGATGGAAGAGGAAAAGAACACCGTCAGTAAGCATTTGTATACAATGACGCCGGGATAAAGACAGATAAGAAAGCATGAGGGAGAAAAATATATAAAAAATAACTTACGTCCACCGCCACCACCGCTAGAGGTAGGTGTAAGAAGCTCTCTCTTTAGCTTCGCAAGCTTAGCTTTCAATTGACCTGCAAAAATAAAATAGATTATCAGCCCATCAGCTTCGGCATATCTGCACGGCCTACCCCGCTTCCCGAGCTATTGCATCAATAATGCAAAACGTACCTAAATGATACGACGTGTTCTTGTTTTTTTGAGTCCGAGCCATCTAGAGGGTGGTTAACTTCGGGGGAGTCCCCAGTTTCCGAAAGGTCATGGGTGGGTAGCAAGGCTTACTTCGGTCTCGATCTCCTTGATCTAATGGGTGCCAGCATGTGTCAGTTGGCAAGTATATCCAGGTGTGTTACAGTTGAAGCGCGGGGTTGGGGATGAAGGGGGAGGGCAGAACGGACCTTGTCCACAGTTGTCGCCATGCTTGCGGATTTGTAACTTTCGTCTTTCTATAAAGCAGAACAGGTATTGGAATGGGGTACTCAAAAAGCGGATGAGGCCAGCTCTATCTATACAACCTGTCTTGCTATCAAAGAGCGGAGATTTTGCGTGGACTTCGGTGTCAATTCGATTTTGATGTTGGGATTTGGGCGCCGGAAGTTCAAGAATGTCGCTGAGTCATTTATTAGTCAGGCTTGGCATTTGACCTCGCGTGGAAATTCCCAAAAGGTTCCAAGGATGGTCCCGAACGGTTCCGGAAGTCGCTTAGTGTCGGATTAACAGGGGCAAAATTCGGGGAATCGGCTCATCGGGGGCTTCCAACTTTGGTTTTAAGGCTCCAAGTTGGGGGAAGTTAGGGTTAGACGAACCGCTGGGCGACGTTAAGATTTCCCTTGGGCCGTTATAGAACTGCGAAATATATATAGGGGTATATGGGGTCGGGTTCGAGTAGTAGCCACCGTGTGCTTTTCGTTCCTGACCGCCTGTTCTCTTCACTCTTCGGCTAGTAGTATCTATTTTGCACCCAGGTGCCGCCTCCCGCTTGTTCGGCTCAGTCTGGTCTGGGCTCTTTCCTACCCGCGTGATCGAGTTCTCCATCCATCTGATAAGATTTCTCCGCCGCCTCCGCCTCCTACCTGCGCCGTGGTCCCACTGCATTCATTCATATAAGAGACACTGCACCCAGCCCGCCGTAATTCTTAAATACCTCATAGGAACTATCTTCCTCGCCGTACTCCTCGAACCACGTTCATCTTTCTACTCTCGTTCTCAATCTCCAGGCCCAAGTGCACAGGTCCCGACACAATGCCGTATCTCGTGAACGGCGACTCCTCGCCCGAAGCCTCCCCCGTCGATGCATTCCACAGCTTAGTAGAGGACATCAACACAGTCCTTGGCCCTAGCTCAGGTCTAGATTCCGACGACGTCGATCCGATGGATATCCAGAAGCTCATGGAGGACTATACCTCCAACGAGAGTGAATGGGAACGGTATGCCTTTGGCGATGCTGGAAGAGCATATACGAGAAATCTGGTCGATGAGGGCAATGGTAAATGTAATCTGGTGAGTCATAGGCACGGATGGGCTTGGCGATGTTTGGAGTCATTGATCGATTGATGTCCATGATGCTTCGGGGGTGAAACATGCTAACGGCGAGGGTATATAGCTTATTCTCGTCTGGAGCCCTGGAAAGGGAAGCGCCATTCATGACCATGCCAACGCCCACTGTGTAATGAAGGTTAGTACCATTAGCTGGAGCCCGGTTTGTTTTTGACCCCGATTGAGGGGAAATTTCTCACTGACATTATTCCCGTCACAGGTACTAAAAGGGTCCCTGCGAGAGACGCAATATTCGTGGCCCGAGGAGGACAAGGTACAGAAGGGGGAGCCATCACCCTTGTCCATAACCAAGGACACCGTGTATAAAGAAAACCAAGTCACTTACATGTCAGATAAGGTGAGGATAAGACGTGGACCAAGCTCCATCCTATTTTTAGAAACTTTCTGGGGAGAACATACACTAACAAGCTTAAAAACGAAAAGCTCGGCCTGCATAAGATCTCTAATCCTGACCCTGACGATTTTGCTATTTCCCTTCACTGTAAGTTCATCACTTGCCCAAACACGTGCCATCCCTCTTGCTGCATTTCGATTCATGGGAACGATTTTATCTTTTTCCATCTTCTTTGGAGGTAAACCTAACCTGGTGACAGTATACACACCACCAAACGCTGCTCATTATGGGTTTTGCCTTTTTGACGAGAAGACGGGCAAGTCGCGACACATCAAACAATCCATGTTCTTCTCCAGCAAAGGACACAAACTATGATTTCCGTGTCCTGCGAGAAGGGTCAACGAAAGTTGTCCCTGGTCTAGGTATGCGCTCTAGAAGTTGTAAATGAATGAAATGCGGGACGATAAGTGTTCTTTGCGCTGGAGCCCCGTTTTAATGAACCTTTCTGGTCTGGTGTCTTGGGGTATTGCAACTATTTCGGGTTTCGGGCTTGCGCTATAAATGACGTGATTTCATCCTAACGCCAGATGCATCTTAGCTCGTCTTCAACAGACCGGGGGTTTCGTGTGGACGACATACGCAGTACGGCGTATATTTTCATCACCCCAGCTACACGGCAAAACTCCCAAGGCGAGAGCCACTATTATTATTCTTAGAGCCGTTGTAATTAGCATTTTTATCCTCCTCTCCTTGTTTCAGAGAGTTTAGCCCGTTCTTCTTTTCTTTTTTTCAATCCATGCCCACTCCACTCTCCTCAATCAAATATATGTAGAGTTATTAGTTACACGTTCTCAGTAATTCTCCATGAACAGCGCCTTGCCACATTTAATATCAACCCCAAAAATAGTGCTGAGTACTCTATAGATTTCAACGAGCAACCAACAAAAGAGGAAGCGCATTCCACCGTTAGTGGCCGTCCTTCCGGCCTGGATGTGTGCTTCAAATTTAACACACAGAGAGAGAGAGGGATTTCAAGACGAGATAAGCCGTATTCAGTCACAGGTGAGGTCAACTTATGTTTGAATCGATGTAGACGTTATTGTGGATAGATATTTCTATGTAAATGCGATCGTCTCCCTTGTCTGCTCCTCGCGGCCTTGTTTCCTATTAAGTTTGTTGATTTATTTGATTGATTCAAGCTTGGTTGGGTGTTTGTTTAAATTTGAGACAGATTCTTCGTCATTTGTCTCAGGAGCCTTGACGGATGTAATAATGTACTGTCCATGTACATGTACATGTACTCCGTACATACATTATTACTACGGTCTGTACTCCGTACATGTATGTACATACACTGCGTCGCTCCTACCCCCGACGTTATGCTGTCCTCTCCACCAACCGAGCCCCAAGCCTATCGCGGTTAAGCTTTGCGCCGAGTCGCTTGGCACGCGTCTAATCCCTGTCGATTCGTCACCTTGGAGGCCAGACCTCGCGCTTACCGCTTTGGGGGCCTTGACATATCGCATCAGAGCGTTCATCGTCCTAGCACTTCCAGGAGTGGCTGAACAAGCTTGCGCCCTAGGTACTTTTTTTTTTTTCCAGGGCAAAGGATCCTTCTTGCCTATAAAATTTAACTGCTTGGCGCTGGATCACGAACAGCACCTTCCCAAAATCACAGTTTTATTTACCTTGAACCAAATACGCCGGCCCAAAGGCTACATCTATACCTTCCCTTTTACGCCGTCCCTCAAAAATGCCATTGCTCTCTTCCTGAATGCCGCCCATTTTCGCCCTACACATGTCCGGACCGTTACTTGTCAATTGGGGATGCGAACGCAACGGTTTGTCGTCCTTTTGGCGGTCGTCTGCCTCGTAGGGCTTTCGTTTGTGCTACTGGGCCATCCAGTGCCAGCTGGGAGAGTGAAAGAAAGCGGGAAGAACAATCCGTTATTCATCCCGACTGAAAACCGTCCCAAAAATGTCGACCATCAGCGGCAGCAGCAGCAGCAACAACAACAACAACAACAACAACAACAACCGCAGCAGCAGCAGCAGAAACAAAATATCCCTCACGAACATCCTATCACCGTCACAGACAAATCCCATCCAGTCGCCCAGCTATTCGATAACGCGAATAGAAAGTTCGAGAATGTCCGTGCCAGACAATCCAAGACGCTCAAGGATGCGGTGGAGGAATACCGACGTCGTTACAAGATGCCTCCCCCACCGAGATTTGACGCGTGGTTCAACTTTGCACAGAAGCGGGGTGTGAAGTTGATTGACGAGTACGATACGATATATCATTCTCTTCTCCCGTTTTGGGGACTGGAACCCCAATTAATCCGAACGAGGGCGAAGGAGGTTATTGGTTTTGATAATGGGGTTATCGCCGTCTTGATTCGGAGTGGCAAGGTTTCTAAAATAGCCGGTGGGGGTGAGGGTATTATGTGGAAGCGAGAGGCACTGAAGAACATGTTGGAGCGATTCGTCAAATACCTGCCTGACATGGATCTGGCCTTTAACATCCATGATGAACCTCGGGTCGTTGTTCCATATGATGACCTACAGCGTTTGGTGCTTCGTGCCGTAGATAACGCTCTGCCGAAGGCCTTTGCGAACGCCTCCCCGAGAAACTCCTGGTCACCACGGCCCAAGGACTTGAACAAAGGCGATAGGGTCGACGAGGTCAGGATCACGCGATTTAATCGATTTGCACATCAACCCACATGGACCATTTCGCGCATGTCCTGCCCTGTGGATAGTCCCGCGCGAAGCCTCGACGAAACAGCTGCCGACAATATAACCGCTTACTCCTACTCGCAGCTTGGCTTCATTTACAACACCACTGCTTTCTCAGATGTGTGCTTGACCCCTTCCCTCCGCCACACGTTCGGGTTTTTCGACCGCCCCAATGCGTTTGATGTCACTCATGATCTCTTCCCTATCTTCTCGCAGAGCAAGGTGTCTAGTTTCCAAGACATTCTATATCCAAGCCCGTGGTACTGGGCTCAAAAGGTTCCATACGATGCTACGATGGATTACGAATGGGATAATAAACAGGAGCAAATGTACTGGCGCGGGTCAACAACGGGCGGCTTCTCCAGAGCAGGGGGTTGGCGGCGACAGCACCGACAGCTATTCGTCAAACGGATAAACGGGTGGGATACGGCAAAGGTCTACGAACGATCCACCACAGCTGCAGAAGACAATGCATGGACCCTCAAGGACGTCGCACGACGAAAATTTAAACACATCTTCAACGTCAAGTTCAGCCATATCGGCCAATGCGATCCAGAAGATTGCAAAGCGCAAGCCGAGTTCTTCGACGTTGTGCAATCTGCTGCCCAGCAGGATGCGTGGCAGTACAAGCATCTTGTCGACATTGATGGGAACGCGTTTAGTGGCCGCTACTATGCGTTCCTGCAGAGTAATAGCTTGGTATATAAGCTTGCGGTTTTCCGCGAGTGGCATGATGAATGGCTCCGTGCGTGGGTGCATTATATTCCCCTGAGTCTGCACGGGGATGAGCATGTGGAAACTGTACGATATCTTGCCACAGAGAAGGAAGGCCAGGCCATTGCGCGAACGTTGGCGGCTCAGGGGCAGGAGTGGGCACAGTCAGCGTTACGAAACGATGATCTAGAGGTGTATTTTTTTAGGTTGTTATTAGAGTGAGTTTCTTGCCTCTAGACCACACAGCCGATTCCCCGTGTTATTTTATTTTATCTCTTTTAATCTTTCGGGTCCGAGTAATTACTAACCGCGTGACTACAATTTAGATATGGGAGAATTGTGGATGACAACAGGGAAAGTATAGGATTTTCTCCCTAACCTAATTGCAAGAGGAAACGGACCCATGAGGCGCCAGATTTGCATTTTTGCTCTGGGCAGGTGGTGTATCTATTTATATCTACGCGTACATACTCTTTTTCTTGGTTCTGTTTTTAATTGTCAAAACGTCGTCTTTTTTTTTCCTGCTACATACCATATTTATTATCTCTTCTCACCGGGGCCGCCTAGGAAAACTGTTCCCTCCCCACTCCCCATCATAATTCTTGGCCCTCTCTCTCCCATCCACCTTCCTCGTTCCCTCTAACTCCTCGGCCCGGCTCCAGAAAACGTACTTAATATTCGGTTCGCCGATGAGCCAGCACATAGCATACCGCAACCAGCATGGAGCACGCACCGTGCATCGTGCAGTACTTATTTTCTCCCTTCCCTTTCCTTTCTTGAGCATTCGCGTGGTGTAATGAAAATTTGCAGCATTTAGTCGTTGAATCTTGCATTTTTCTTGTATTCGCCTTTTTTTTGGTTTTGGTTTTGGCTTTTTACCTTTTTCCCCCCCTTTTCAGTCTCACCTTGAGGTCTAATTCTCCTGCTCTTACATACCTATACCCTTTTATTATTTGTATATGGTTTTCTATTTTTTTGTAAAATAAAGATAGATAATCTCTCGGCATGGGAAAATTCTCTTGACGAAGCGGCGCGCTGCTGTCTCCTAATTTTCTTACTTGCCATGTGAATTCCTCTCTTTCTTGCTTTCTTTTTATTCTTTCTTTCCCCCCCTTCCATTTTCACATTCAAGGATGACATGTTGGTGCTAGGTTGTGTAGATGATGGGAATTGGATGTTAGAAAACAGACTGTATCTGATTGCTCCTTAATGTACAGAGATGTTGCACATAGGAAATGTGTATAGGCAGGTATTTTTATCTACTAGCTTTTGATTCCCGTATATAATTAGTTTATACAAACTTAACATGTGCCAAAAAGTTCGAAACAACAATTTCCTTACGTGCAAAAGGCAACACATGACCCAGTTCCTCCAGGCCGAGGCAATGACGTCACTTCCTCCTCCTCCGGCCATCGGCCATCGGTTCCAACACAACGATCAAACTTGGCCACTCTCACACAACCTCATTACATCCAACACTGCCATATATCAACCCCATATTTTGTCACAGAACTACGTGGATCATATTCTCATTATTAGCAGTTATTGGCCAAATCGTCTCTTGCGGGAAATCCGAGCAAATCTCAAAGCCAAAGCAAAAACGCTATCGTCGCTCTTCAGTGAAAGATGTAGCTGCGCGCCCCCCCTGTCCCCTACCCGTGACGGGAATCTATATCCAGTTAAACCACAATAATCCATCCCCAACGTGTGTCTTTAAACCTGGTCTACCAAAAGCTATCCGAGGTAAGAAAGCCGATCTCAAGTTTGATCTTAGTTTCTTACATGTACCATTGATTGATAGCTGATCAGGCTTCAGTATTATCGGTCTGTGGACTGTAGCGAAAAAGGGGGCTAAGCAGGGGGTCCCGACTGAAGCTAGGGCTATGATTTCGCAGCCTTTCGTTGGTCTGTAGTGTGTGGACAAGAAGTATAAAAGCTGAACAAAAGGCACTTGCTAGGTGGCATGGAAGAGTAGCTGGGTAGGATACTACTTTATATGCTTTGGGAGCGCTGATAATCGAACGAACGGAGTTTTTACTCTGCATTCCCTTTCGTCTTCTTCGCCTGCTACTCGTCTTTTTCCTTATCTACCTACCTCCGAAGACCGAATACCGATATACCCACACTGTGCCTTCCACAAATCTCTTCGCATTATTATTCTGCCCACGATAATATACTCCGCTCGAAAGCTGGAATTAGGGTTAAACGCCATGCCCCCTAAAAACTCTTAGTGCATCTGAGCTGCGAGCTGTAACAATCAGAAACAATGGGGGAATCTTCACCCTTTGTCAGGGGTCTACTCGCGACCCTCATTGCGTGCTATGGGGTCTACACCTTTTTTACGTACGGAGTCCTTGCGATCTGGTCAGGGACTTTCTTCCACCGGACGACAGAAAAGGAGAAATTGGAGTCATTACTAGGTAAGGAATATCTGATATCCAGTTATAAATAGTACAGATTTTTTTGGCTTAGTCTGGAATTACGACTCGCCTAGCTATGTCTAATTCTTGCTGAGGGAGAAAATTAAAAGGAGAGAGACAAGGCAAATAAAGTGTGAGAACTCAAATCGGCTAATTTCGATTTAATCAAAAATATGTAGCGAAGGACCGCCTCTGGAACCTCTCTAAGCAATGGGAAGGTTTCTCTCACCACTTCATAACCCTACGGGACGGCTTCAAGTTCCACTACGTCGCTAATGACTCCGTCTCAAATCGTAAATCATCACCAAGACTGAGACCAGCAAAACCACTTGTCATTTTCGTTCACGGCTTCCCGGATAGCTGGGCGATATGGCGACACATTCTGCCCTCCTCATTACTCTGGGAGCGCAGCTCTATCGTCGCAGTTGACCTGCCCGGCTACGGCGGGACCGATTCTCTGCCAAGGTATAGCGCGACGGAGGTCATGGAACATTTTGCTGAGTTCCTCATCGCCATTCGACGGAAGTATGGGATTGATTCGGATGATGATGATGGGCCTATCAGACCCATGGATGCGAAACGGCCGGCCGGGAAGGTCATTTACGTCGGGCATGATTGGGGCGCTTTGTTGGGCTTCCGCATTGCTTCGGAGGCACCGAAGTTGGCGAATAGGTTTATATTGACGAATGGCCCACTGGTATGTTTGGCTTTTATGAGGCTATTTTATTTTGCTTTGTGCAATCCGATCTAGCTGGCTAATATATTGTTAAATCAGCTCCCTTTAGCGAAGTCAAATCTCATCCAGACATGGGAATCCTCGGCAAAAATGTTCAAGACATTCCTCCGGAACCCATTCCACTCCCACACCCTTCTTCTCCAGGCAATATCTAGACTGAAGCCTTTGCTCCGCCAAATGGTTCTATCCGGCTACATTTTCATATTCCAGCTACCCATGCCCATGGTACGTTACACGGGCAGTGGGGGCAACTATTCATTCTTGAAAGCGGTGCACATCCAAGCGGCAGGGAACGTGGTTGAATTTACCGTCCGGGACGCCCAAGAATCCATGGCAAGCACTCTCGGTCCCGGCGACGCGGAATTCAAAACAGCAACAGAAGACGGAGAGCACTATCCACCCAGCGTCGCCCGACGTATCCAGATAGGCAGCTTCGGCGACACGGCCTCCTACTACCGCCACGGCGCCGCCGTAGGCACCTGGCATAAGTCACTCGAGACCATCTCGGCACTATACAATCTTGGGGAGCCACGGCGGACCAGCACGGGGATGGCTATGCAGGATGGGGTCCCCGGGGCGCTCCAGGCAAACGCGACCGTTTTATGGGGGGAGCAGGATACGGCGCTGGACCCGCACGTGATGCTGGAAGGGATTGCAGATTATCTTGTGCATGGAAGCCAGGTGGTGATGTTGCCGCGGACGGCGCATTTTTCTCCAATGGAGGTGGAAGGGCGGAGGGCTATTGAGAAGGTGGTGGAATGGGCTGTTGCCGGTGAGAAGGAGGATGTGGGCGCGGTGGTTGCTGGTGTGTATCCGGGCACGGTTGTGACGGTGAGAAAATGAATGGATAGATGGATGGTATGAGATGAGAATGATTGCACTTATGTCTATGAGCTGTTGTGGATTGGGGAGAGAATGGAGAAGGGGGGGGTTTCAATTTCCCATGCTACACAGAATGAGATAAGCACAAACTTAACTGTATTTGGAATTGGATTCTGCAACAAGTACCTAAGCGGAATGTATTTATCTGTGCTGCGTGGCATCAATGAATAGTTATCTCTCTTTTTGCCTCATGGATTTGAATCTGATTTCTTCCTTTTTTTTTTAAAAAAAAAAAAAAAAAATGCATGATATAATCAACCCCGTTTCAAGCCGCCAAGTAGCTAACTACTTAACTAGTTAAATAGCTGCCGAACTAGCTCCCCTTTTTTTGAGCCGCTGTACAGAAGTAGAACTCTGGCATTTTTTCCAATTGGCCCCCTGTCATAGTTACATGTAAGCCTGCAAAAAAATGATTTCCCCCTCTCCTGCTTTTGTCTCAAATAACAATAACACCGCCAATAATGGTTCATACAGAAACCATTTTTCCACCCTTGTCTTTCCAGGTGTAAGTGCAATAATAACCGATTGAACAATTTCCCCAGGTACCAAGCAATCCAATCCGGCGATCCAGGTAAGTTCGAGCCGGATCTCCTGGCCACCGAATTGCGGGGCAAAAGCTTCCTCTGGAGCAACCTTCATAGCAAACCAGTTTGAATCTGGCTGGCTATATTCTCTCATATCCCCTCATCCATTTTTATTTTTATCATCTCTCCCTCTATCTTCTCCCCAGCGGCGCCACTCAGAGAGTCATCGCCACCACCACCACCGCCGCCATGGAAGACCCAGGTGAACGTGAAGCTGTTTACTGCACCGTGAGTTGATACATCTACGGGAATGTACATTCACTACGTATGTTAATGGGTACCTGAACTAACGAGCTTTGGATCCAGATGCTTCTCAGCGATAGTTACCTCCCAGGTAAATAATGAAGATGCGCGAGAATCAAACCTGCTATTCACAATGCACAAACAATGGTTTTTTGTTCTCTGCTCATTATAACATCGTTGTATAGGTGCAATGGTGCTGGCCCATTCGCTGCGAGACACCGGCTCCAAAGCGAAGCTCGTCGTGCTGGTTACGCTGGACTCTTTGAAGTCTTCAACGGTCGATGAGCTGAAAGTATATCTTTTCTTTCCTTTAATGCGTAAGAAAAAAAAAAAAAAAAAAAAAAAAAAAAAAAAAAAAAAAAAAAAAAAGGAAAAGAATAAAAAAATATTCGTTCGCTTCTTTAACACTGTGTCACTAACTGCTGCCCAACTCAAAAAACAAACCAAAAAAGACCATCTACAACGATATAATCCCCATCACTCAATTCGTCAATCGAAACCCCGCAAACCTATACCTAATGGACAGGCCAGACCTAATATCGACTTTCTCCAAAATAGAGCTCTGGAGACAGACCCAGTACAGTAAGATCGTGTACATCGATGCCGATGTCGTATCTCTTAGAGCCCCGAACGAGCTCCTCAAGCTCGTTTCCCGCTTTGCCGCCGTGCCTGATATTGGCTGGCCGGACTGCTTCAATACTGGGCTCATGGTACTCACTCCCAACATGCAGGATTATTACTCTCTCCTCGCTCTTGCCGAGCGAGGGATTAGCTTTGACGGTGCAGACCAGGGCCTGCTCAACATGCATTTTAAGAAATGGGATAGATTGAGCTTTGCCTACAACTGTACACCGAGTGGGCATTATCAGTATATCCCCGCCTTCCGCCATTTTGGCAGCAATATTAGCCTAGTGCATTATATTGGCAGGCGGAAGCCGTGGAATTTACCCCGCCAGGCGTTTCCGTTGGAGAGTCCGTATAATCAGCTTTTGGGGAGGTGGTGGGCTATGTATGATAGACACTATAGACCGGTGGTATGTATCGATTGCGTCTTTCAATGTGTATGGTTTCGAGTTTGATGGAAATATTACTGATTGCGTTCTCAGGCCAAACCTACCCCTCACCTTACAGATGGAGCTGACATTACTACGGATCAGGAAGCTTCTGGACGAGAACCCCAAGCTCATAGAGTGCAGATTCCCACACGGTCCTGTGGGCGTGATCGTGATCAGCTATCTAAACCATTGGAAATAATGCATATCTCGGAGCAACTCTACACACAAGGTCATCCACAGACTCAATCCTACCCGCCTGATCCTTCCGCTCCCGTTCCTGCTCCCGCCGAAGCTGCAGTCCAAACTGAAGCTAATGGAGTTACCCAGCAACACGATGAGCGGGGCGACTTTGAGCCATCCCGCTTCCCTGAAATTTCACGTGTAATTGATGGTGCTTCAGTATTAGAGAGCAGTGCAGTTGGAGCCAGGCCAATTAGTCCGCCCTCACAACCTAAAGCCCCTGAAAAGAATCATCATCTTGTCATCAGCGCTGTCCCCCAATATGTCCATGGCGAAGAGCATGTATCTGCCTACCGACACCCTCTTTCTTTTCCTCTTGATCCCCCTTCCGACTCAAAGGAAGTGCCAAATCTCAGAAGTATTCCTACTGCTGACATAACAGACGTACCTATACATCATCATCTCCCACGGGAGCTAACTGACCCGATAAATCAGCCACAAGTAGAGCAAATTATTACCTCTTCCCAGGAGCCCGAGCCGTTGAAGGTAGCTCCGGAGATACCATTCTCGCTGCCAAGAGCGGAATGGGATCCTTCCCGGTATGTATCTCCAAATATAAATAACGAAGCAAAAATAATGGTCCCGGAAGCCATACCATTACTGATAGTAAAACTATAGAGCACCTCCCCCCGTGGATTCTAAACCAGAGGCATTTAATTTACCCTCACAAACATACACTATGTCGCAGGACATGCAACTTTTCCAACCACCAAGTTTATACCCGGAAGCCCCGAAAGATATGTACTACCAAGTACCCCCTAGACAACCAGAAACAAAGCCTCTAGCTCCCGTATTCCCGTGGGAGGCTTACGCCCCAAAACCTACACGTGTTTTCCTGGACGAATCGACAGAACCCAATGCAAAAACAGAATCTCATTCGAAATTATTAGCCAAAGGCGAAGATAAAATAGGCGGCTCCACAGGACCAGCGTCCGCAGGCTCAGTACCTTCCGAGGACCCGTGGTTAAGCTACACTCGCTCGAACGCATGGGACGAAGTTCCCGAAATTGAGAGATACATGCGTTCCCTCCAACGGCCCCGGAGGGGCCAAATCCAGGTCTTAAAATCCGGGGAAACCAGCACCACAGGAGACCGTTCCGGAACAGAAACTGAACGTCGAAGGCCCAGCCTACTGCTCACCGATTTCCCCACGGAGGCAGAGCGGCCCAGCCTCCCAGTAACACCGGCACCTATTCCGCGCTCGCAATATATGGACGAGGCCGATTCTGAGTCTACTGGAAGAGACAAAAAGAAATGGGGAGGAAGGGGAGCAGCGGGTAGTAGTGGTGCTGATGACAGTCTGCCGCTTGCCGCCGGAGTCCCATCGCAGGAGAACTGGGTGCGTTTCACGATCGATGCGTTCGTGCAACTTCTTGGGGTGACCTACTTATTCTGGAGACTTACAGAACCCCGTGGAGCGCCTGGAAGAGCTCCACCGGCGCCAGTCTGCGTTACTTGATGAGACGCGTGGTGGGCCGCCGGAGCTTGAGGTGAGAGAGATTCCGAGGCGGAGGATGCCCGGAGAAGGAGGTGGTGGTGAAGAAGAAGGGAGGGGATAACCAGAATGGATGAATTCTGTGGCTTTCGGTTATTATATACAGCACATGTACACTGTACATACAATACATTTTTTGTACCTCGTTCCCCAACTTCCAAAGCCCTTTTCCCTTGGATCTTGCATTGCATGCTATGCGACCTGGACTTCGTGAAAGACCTTGTATACTCTATGCTTTGAACGATGGAATGAAAAATTTACCTGTTTGATAGCGATAAGTTCTGAGATTACCCAGCATTCGATTCGTCTGGAGTGTCTTCCCGCACAATGAAATCATGTCGATCGTTCTCTTTTATTAGCGCTATTGTTTATTACTTATTCCTATCATCATGATTACTTTTTGGCTGTTTCATTTCCATCGTTCGTCTCGCCATTATTTTTGCCTGAATTTATCCTTCAAGCTTTCCGCGGTTGCCATTTCAAGTTTTGGGGACTGATCTGATTGCTTATCCCTGATATACCATTACTGGTTGATACTAGCTCATATATCATCTGCAATTTCAAAGCTCTCTTCTCTCTATAGCATTATCTTTCAGGCATACTTACTCTCCCTTATAGCACCATATTCTGACTTTGTGCATCCCCACCCCCTATGTCTATGTCGTCACCATCTAGCTTCTTTGTCCATCCATCATAGCAAACCCATCCATCCGCTGTATCTTTGGATCTTAAATACACATCCCATCTCCTTCTGGTCATGTCTGTTTATGTCTTGTCATGGCAAAGGGATCTTTTCCCCCCTCCATGCTAACGCTTACTCCGTCCCAGCAAACACAGAAAATCCAGCGCCCAGAAAAATGAAATCTCAGCCCCACAACCTCACGGCATTCTCTCTAACCATATCCCCAATAACATATCCAAAAAGGAGTATATCCATTTCATCTCACGACCAACATCCTGACCACCCAACTCCCCACATCCACCCCATAAATCACCAGAGCCTGCACCACAAATCTCCTCGCATGCTCAACATGAAAATACACAACCCCCAAAAGAAGCATAACGAACGCAACATGCAAAACATACGCCCCCCTCTTGGACATCCGTCCCGACGAACCCGATCGTGCCGTCGAACTTCCCTTCCGCCTCACCCATCCGCTCGTCCACCATAGTCCAACCAAAGCGAACAACGCCCAGATCCCAAATTGCACATCGGAATCATTGAGCCGCGTCTCCAGCACCCCGTTCTCCGCGAAGAAAATGAGATAGAGTAGGGAATGCAGGGAGATGAGGGCGGGGATGACTAGGCGGCCGAACAGGCGGTGGTAAGGGGTCAGATGGGTCTGGGGCAGCAGGAGGAGGTTGGAGCAGATGAGGTTGAAGGGGTTGGTTGTTGTGGAGAGTTTGGGGGAGAGGAGGAGGTTGAATGGGATTGTGGCCAGGGTGGTGTGGCCGAGGGATTTGGTTAGGTGGAGGTAGTCTTGTTGTTTTAGTGTCAGTACAGGATTGGGGGTTTGTGTTATTGGGTGTGTTGTGTATATATATTTGTGGGACAACAGGGGATTTTTTTTTATTTTTTATTTTTTATTTTTTTCTATTATTTTGCATTGTATGTATAGAGAAAATATAGAGAGGGGAGGGGTGAAGGTGAAGGAAACAGTGATTATCCATACCATCACCCGTCCTCCAAGCGGAAAGCGCCAGCAACCATATCATCCATACCGCCGCAACGAGATACTGTCCCCTCGTCTCGCCCCCGCCGCGCATGAGCGGGGAATCTAACCACGAGGGCGTTCCCCTATCCGTAGCGGTGTCATTGCCATTGCCTCTACTCCTGCCACTGCCTCTGTTTGCTCCGAACCTATACACACTGAATAGTAGAAGTAGAACGAGGGTAGATAGCTGGGCGTATTCACCGCGTAGGTTGAGGAGCTCGCGCCGTTCACGGAGCTGTTCGGGCGTAGGAGATGTGTAGCGGTAGTACACGAGGGATGAGAGCCATGAATTTGTATCTGAGGAAGACATGGCTTTTTTTTTTTTTTTTTTTTTTTTTTTTTTTTTTTTGGCTGGGTTGTTCAGCGTGTTCGGTGAGGCTGGTGAGCCTGAAACTGAGGTTGTCACACCCGTGGGACGGGATGCCAATGGGAATATGTACAAGAAACAGAGACGGACGATGGCGCGAATAAAAATATGCTGTTAACAGATTTTAGAAGGATAAAGATGATACTAAAAAAATATTCAGAAAGAAAAAGGGGGAATTTTAAAATTCTTTAACTTGGGCAAGAATCCTGATGGCACATATAACTACACGATTCAAACTGTCCGCTGTCGTTATTTAACGCGCCATCGAAAAGGGGCGTTATCCTTAAACGCTGAGATTGCGAACAAATTCAAGAATAGGGGCAATTATTATGTCAAGCTTTTCAAGAAATGACAGGGAGAAATCTCAGAATAACTAAACGAAAAACTGACCAGGTCCAAAATTGTTGGAGATGAAAACTGCGGGAGATTTTAGTATTAATAATAGTTAAATGAATGGAATAGAACACGAAACGCGGTGGCACGTGATTTAGATAGCTCCCCTTCCTCCTCTTGGGGCGCTTTGCTGCCTGATTTGCGAGGGACAAATCGAAGATTAAGCTTCTGGTTGGAGATAGAGGATAAAAGCATAGGATTAAGGGTGTTGAGGGAACAACTCATCTATCTGCTCTCCGCTCTGCGTTCTTGGTCTTGCTCTGCCTGAATTCATTGTTCATACTTTGCCTTGATATCTCACCGATTCACTCTTCTTTTTATCTTCTTTGAACCCCATCTGGCGGTGCATGCTTCTTAAGCGGGTTATTTTACGCCTTGAAAAAGGGATATTCAGAAAGAACTCTCGATACGATACGATAGATCTATCTTTTCTTTTTTTCTTGTTCTTTTTTTCTTTTCTTTTCTTTTCTTTTTTTTTATTCCGCTTTAATCAAAGAAATGGGGGGATTGGAGTCAAGCATTTGCGGTGCGGGCTAGGGCTGGCAGCACACGCGAAGACTTGAGTAGGGATGGAAAGCCAACAGGCAAGAGGAAAAAGGCGATGCTAGGAGGAAAGGAGAAGAAGACACACTATATATGATTTTCAAAGCGCACATGATGACTTCCATTTCCACTTTCTAACCTGACTTGAAAGGGGAAAAAAATAGCAAGCGAAGGCAAAGTGTATTTCTCTTTCAAGTACTTGTGCATGTTTTCCTCATCCCTCCACGAGCGTCTCGTTCCTCGCCGCCGTTCTTTTCTTTCTTTCTTTCATTCATTCTTTCATTCATTTTTTCCCCTTTTTTTTTACCATTTCGTAAATCAGGAGAGCATAAAAAGCTAGATTAATTGGCCGATTGATTATATTGAATTCTGAGCCCGTCTCTTCCTCCCGAGCAATTACAGAAAAGAACAAGCAACGAAGAAACGAAAAAGGAAAGGGGAAGGAAAGGGGGGTTCCTCTAGATCAGTGAATCATAAAGCAAAGGACGAGAGGGAGGGAAGACAGCAACACAAGCATGCATGCATGAAAATAATGTATTTAGTAAAGTCATTGATTAAAATAAAACAAAGAACGGGCCGTATTGTCGGGGACATATTGAATGTATTCTTTTTTGTTATTTTTCTAGAGAGGAAAATCATGGCGACGTTTGCATGGCTTCTGAAAAGCTGTTTGCGGCAGTGGTGGCAAAATATCGCACGTCGACATCATCGTCCTGCTGCAGCTTCTCAAGATTTGGGAGGATCTGTTGCTGTACGATGGTGTGGTTGCGCGGTCCTGGAGTGCTGTTTGTCTGCCCGGATTTTTCGAGCTCGGCCAAAGTGCCCTCTGCGGGTAGGCGTCGGAGGGTATCTATCATGACAGCGTAGGATTTCGCGACGTTGAAGCGGATGTTCGGGATGTCGTCACCGACAAGTCTCTCGAGAATCGGGAGGATGGACATCTCGATTATAGTGAGGTTGACAGCTGGCGCAAGGGTCTAACCATCGCGAAATTAGCTCTATCGGGCTAAACTTCCCCCTGTTCCCCAAAAGAAGAAGGGAAATTCTAAGAAGTGGTGGTGGGTAAGGAAGGTAGAGGTTCGTTTCGACTTACAGATATAGCGAAACAAGTTGTCATTCTATAAAGATAGTTTGGATGCTGGCCCATCGATATAACCTTTGGAATAATGGAATTTTTCGCCCATTCCACGCCGAACACTTCCGTCAGTTTCTTTAGGTTCAGAGTAGCTGCCTCGCGAATCGAGAACACAGCATCCCCAAGCCAGCCCATGCACAGGGCGCTGAGCTGCTCGTCGAAGAACTTTACGCCAAGCTGGCTGGCAAGAAGGGGGATGTATTCGATGATTGCCAAGCGGACACGCCACTGCTTATCTTCCGCTAGCTGTACAATCGCGGGGAGGAGAGATTGGGATAGAAGCTCGATACCAATAACTATTTATATAACATGTGAGTTGTGTGGCGGGACATTGTATCTTATATTGGCGTGTGTAGACATACCTTTATTGACCATTTCCAGCTTGGATATAATGTGCAGGCGTACATCGGGGAATTCATCTTTCAGCATTTGCAAAAACATAGGGAGTAGGTGCGCAATAGTTCTAAAGCAAGGGCTAGGTTAGCAATATATTATTTTAAGGAAGAAAACGAAAACATCACTCACTCATCCTTGCCAAGTATCGGCGCCAGTCCACTGATTTGTATGCCTAGCGCAGCGCGCACATGTTGCGAAGGATCAGACACGAGGTCTTCAATGCTAGTCATTATTTCATTCAAAAGGGTATCTCTATCGAGCAGTTCGCAGAAACCTACAACAGTGTTAGATTACGTAGGAAAACGTACTGCCGCAGTTCATCTCTTACCAGGAATTTGTCCGGCGATTGCTGTGCGGACTTCTGCCTCGGTATCCTTTAGCAACTTCACGAAGGCAGGGACCAGATCCCGATTCAACACGTCATCATCAACAGCTTTTGCGATCTATGTAGTCGCTAGTCAGTTATTTATGGATGGATATAGCGCGGCCGCAGCTCAGGAGTTGAATGTTAATTG